AATTTAGACCGGCGGGCGAAGGGCTCTTGGCTGCCGAAGGGAAAGGGTTAGCGGCCCGTTACTAGTCTGGCATCCAGGGTAGTTGTTCGCGATCTTTGCCTTTAGCGGCGATATCAGATCAGTTGAAATGGCGCATAGATATAATGTGGAGTTAACATAGCCTCTACCAGGCTTCGGGAGGCGTCTGGAAAGAGTAGAAATTGTCCAAATAGAGAGAGATATCATGTCGGGAGAGTTGGTGTGCCAAAGAGCACAGTTTGGCTAATTTCTAATCTTTCCAGCCGCCTCCCGAAGCCTGGTAAAGGCTAGATCTAGAGTTTGCAAATTTTATTACATGACTGGGTCAGTACGTTTAGCACAAGTCGCAATGGTACAGTAGCGAACTGAGTATGTCAGTTTAGAGTTTGACAAACTTCACAAAGAATAAAACTGCCCAGTTACGAGAAACAGTAAGCAACGACACATATCCATTACACCAACAGGGAAAAAGCGTTTGCCATACCTTTATCAGAAAACGGTGTCAACTTGTGTGCCAGTTTTGTTGTAACGTCAACTAAATAAAACAAGGAACAATCATGGCAGAACAATAGACCGTTCCATGTATGTTTCTTCCGTTGTGTCCACAGAACGGGTGTTCTAGAACTCTGTCAAATGTAAACAATAACATCACAGGATTGTATGTACCAAATTTCCTCCCATCCCCTTCAAAAATTGCCCAAAACATTCAAGCTAGTGGATTTTTCTGACGATCTTTTCGCTCGGTGTCTTCCTGGCAAAGTTCTGGAAGGCCTAAAAACGCTATAGCGCAAACAACTATTATTTCGCAGCTACAAACATTAAATATTCGTTCAAGAACGCAAGCATAAAATGACCTCTGCGTTCCTATGACGCCATAGAACGTGATGACATCACAAATGTATCTATGAATCACAATCATCACACATCGCGATCAGAAACAAAACAAAACAACACATCAACAGCTTCGCAGCTAAAAAATAGCGGTTCCAAATGGACGATTTTGGATCAATATTTCGGTGACAAAAGTCATAGTGACCGCACGGAAGGACTCAAGAGCCAGCCAACATGACAGCGATGCTGGAAACGGAGAAAACAAGTCGAAAGATTTGTACAAGACAGCCGTAACGCTTCACATCTGAGAAGAAGCTTGTGAAGATTGCGTGGAGTCGTCTCCAAGATGTCCAAAGACACCGCGTTCCTGTGCGATAGCTCTGTGAGCTTGCGAAGTCTACCAAGTGAAGCACCCCTGTACTCTAGACAGGAAGTGTCGTACCCGTACAGCCCGTCTTACCTGAGCTACTCCGGTCCGGATGAGAGGGAGATCTGTGATCTTGTGGTGGACTCCGGGTTAACCCTGCCAAACAGGTGGTGGCAGATCTGCAGGGCATACTTGGACTGCAAGGCGGCGTCAGTGCACGTCATGGGCAAGTATATACTATTTGTCAATTGTTACAACATTTGGTAATGGAGGGGGGGACTGTACAAATCTGATCTCCAGGGCATACGTGGACTGCAAGGCAGCGTCAGTGCACATTTGTATAATGCTAATAAAAAAGAAACAAACTTTCTTTAATATTCTGGCAAAATGTACCGTGGCCGACAAGAACAAAATTTTACACCGCAACTTTTGGTGTTTTACACCGCAACTTTTGGTGTTTTACACTGCAACTTTTGGTGTTTTACACTGCAACTTTGGGTGTTTTACACTGCAACTTTTGCTGTGTTTTACACTGCAACTTTTGCTGTGTTTTACACTGCAACTTTTGCTGTGTTTTATACTGCAACTTTTGCTGTGTGGAAAACTTACACCCCTCCCCTTTTATAATGGACGGTCCCCCTGTCAGGTCAAAGGTGACAAAGATGGCGGCGGCCTGAGAGTCACAGTGTCTACATTTGTATACGAGCGATCGCTGTTTTTGTTTACATTATACGCATGCAAATTATTTGAAGACATATGCAAATTCTTGGTAGGCAAATCAGCCAACTGGCACCCACTTTTTGCCTACGGTGACGTCATGGCGATCGCTCGTATTGTTCCCTAATGATCGATAACTTACCTGAGTCAAGAGTCAACACTTCATAATTGAAAATAAGTCTTTATTGCTTCATAGTACCAAGTGGTGCCACATTTGACTCCCATAGGCCCAATATTTACTCATCAAATTATTAGCGACCTTGCGAGTCCGAATTCTCTAGCTAGAAAATGTCACGTGACTCAAAGGCGGGGAAACGTGGAAGACGAATATCGCCGCATGCAAGCGTTTATGACATCATGCCACGATAGTTTAAGCTAATTACATATTTACGCCTTCAGACAGACATCATTTCTATCATACCATGCGTCGACATCAACACGTAGCGGTGCAAACGTTACCAACATTCACTAGATAGCAACATAATTTGTAATCACTGGACCTGGTCGAAACATTTTTGAATTTATCCCGATCTATAGGCCAAAGCTAGAAAAACCTTTAGAAAAAAACTAACGTCACAACGTAGCCAAGCTTTTCCTCTAAAAAACTTATGCACGAAAAGGATAACTCAGTCGACGTAGTTTGTATGCCATCGTTGTCACCTTTGACCTGACAGGGGGACCGTCCATTATAAAAGGGGAGGGGTGTAAGTTTTCCACACAGCAAAAGTTGCAGTGTAAAACACAGCAAAAGTTGCAGTCTAAAACACAGCAAAAGTTGCAGTGTAAAACACCAAAAGTTGCAGTGTAAAACACAGCAAAAGCTGCAGTGTAAAACACAGCAAAAGTTGCAGTGTAAAACACCCAAAGTTGCAGTGTAAAACACCCAAAGTTGCAGTGTAAAACACCCAAAGTTGCAGTGTAAAACACCAAAAGTTGCGGTGTAAAACACCAAAAGTTGCGGTGTAAAATTTTGTTCTTGTCGGCCACGGTAAAAATGGTCTTCACGACAAATAGCGGAAGTAAATACATCTGTAAATATTTTATGATTCTATGTTTACAAATATGACTGATTTACAAAGTTTGGGTGATCCTGTGTTTCCACTTTCTTGCATTCTTAAAGAGTTATTCTTGTGCCCCCTTCTTCAGTTCAGGTTTATGTGGACCCAAACTTTTTATGCTTACCGACTGTCAGAAAACATTGTTTTGGCTCAGTTTCCTCTTCTTCTTCTCCAAACAATAAGCTCTGACCTGGCCAATGACCTGATTTTTTTACGTCTGCCACTATGGTGACTGGTGTTGGGTTACATCATGTTGCAATCTTATAGTAGGAGGGATTTAGACTCCTGTCTGACCATATATTTAGATTTCTTGTTTGTTTTTTCCAAGGCAAGCCAATGCAGCCTCTCGTCTTAGACCGTGTCCTGACGTTGTTGGGAAAATTTGCCTACGATCACCTCTTCAAGGGGAAGAAAATCCGACAAGCGCACGTGAGGAAGAAGTTCAAAGCCTACACCAAAGTCGCCTTCTCGGAGTACACCCTGGGTCTCCTGGACACGAGCTCATCACGTGATGATCACGTGGCCTTCAGGAATAAAATCGTGGAGAACTTTCTGGCGGCGTTGTGGCTATGCCACCGGTTCCCGCAGAAAATGGTCTCCAAGTATCATGTGCCAGACGAAGTCAAGAAATGTCTTAAGAAACTGCCGCACACCCAAGACGTTTGTATACTTCTTGCTGGTCTGCTGGGAGCGATGCACCCGGAAAAATGCAAGGTTAGCGTTATTTAGCTTTCTGTAAAATGGCTGTACAATTGTTTACAATGGATAACAAGAATTCAAAAATCTCAGACCTCCATGAAATATTTAGATATTGTATAAAACAGCAAGCGCTACCCGTTGTAGATGTGATTTATGATTTTTTTCCCTCTGAAACAGACTGAACCCAATTACCACATCCATTAAAACATGCCCTATGATAAAAAAGGGCCATGCGGAAACACAGACACACACACTCAGTGCAGACGAAATTCATTCACACATAGGCAAATATGCCTATCCTTGGTGCTGAACACCATCCATCCATCCGCACACACACACACACGCACGCACACACGTAAACATATACACACTCATGATCAAAACGACAAGTGCAAACGAATTCATTCACACATAGGCAAATATGCATGTCCTTGGTGCTGAACACCATCCATCCATACACACACACACACACACAAACTCACACACACTCATAATCAAAAGTACAAGTGCAAACGAAATTCTTTCACACATAAGCAAATATGCCTGTCCTTGGTGCTGAACACCATCCATCCACACACACACACACAAACACACACACACACACACACACACACACTCATAAGTGCAAACGAAATTCATTCACACATAGGCAAATATGCCTGTCCTTGGTGCTCAACAGGCATACCAAAAACAATACCACCATTTACATCTTGGAGGTAACAACAAGACTGTTAAACCAAGTGTTTCTTCTACTTCAGGTCTTCATGCATAAGCTTGTAAAACGAGCGCGGGAAATGAAGATAGACCACAAGGAGGCCCACATTACCATGATCCTCGTCAGATGTTGTTTCGAAGCCGACCAGATGGTCGAAGTGGACCTGACCGAGGCGGCCGTCCTAGCCGGTACCACTATGCCCTTCCTGCGACACTCGCTACACTCGATAGGGGTCGCTGTTCAGACCCACCGCTTCCTTCACAAGTTGGACCTGAGCGGGCTTGGCCTGAATGATCTCAGCCTGGAGTTCCTGTTGCGCCCCATACAGAGCCCCGTGGCGCTCAACTCGCTTGTCTTAGCTGTCAATCAAATCTCGGGGGCGGGGTTTGCCCGGCTGTGTGGAACTCTGGGAATGATGCCCAACTTGACCGAGCTGAACATGAGCACCAATGGCATAGGTACGCATGATATCCAAGCACATCATACGGTAGCAAAGCAGTATCCATTGGCCAGAGGAGTGTCCATTAGCCACCAAAGATCTGCCAGCACCTTGTTGCTGCATAATCAAAATGTGCCTGCCAAGTAGTTTATTGCCTTGACCACCATGCAAGGCTCTTGCCCTCCTTCGGTGGCTATTAAATGGACACTCCTCTGGCCAATGGATCTGCTTGGAGATTACAGTAATCATGCGTTTGAAGAGTAGCGGGAAGAATGAATGTGAGATGGGGAAGGTAGAATTCGGATTGGCAAGACGGATGTAAAAGATGTACGGCATATACTAGTCCTGTGAGTGTCCGCTCTTTGTGGCGCATATATAGGAATGGTTACCATATACATCTCCATTTCAGAAGCCCTTGGGCAATGCAGTTGTGCACGCACTACGACAAGGGGCTAGTTCACTGGTAGTGGTGTGTGTTTGACATACACTACCTAGTACACAGTTTTATTGTTTTCTATCTTTTATTTCAGTCTAAGATAGCTTTGATTTCTACTAGCGTAATCTTCGAGTGGCCGGTGCAATGCACGACGGTGCAATGTCCAAGTGGGTAGAGTACTCGCCTTGCATTCGGTAGGTCATGAGTTCGATCCCCGGCCGAGTCATACCAAAGACTTAAAAAATAGTACATACTGCTTTCTCTGCTTAGCACTCAGCATTTGGGAAAGAGTATGGGAGCTAAAACACACCACTACCAGTGGACTAGCCCCCTGCTGCAGTGATTGCACAACTGTGTGGCCCAAGGGCTACAAAAATGGAGATTTAACTTTAATCTTCGATTAAACATGGCTGCACTATTCAAACAAATCACATTTCAAGTGAATCCAACTGTTCTTTCTAAACCGTATAGGACAACATCAATATATCGTCCAAAAATCTTTTCCGTGTGCAGGTAAGGGCGGGCTCTCTGCCATCGCTCCTTATATGGACCGTCTGCCGCTGACGACCTTGAACCTGGCCAACAACTTCATCCTGAACGATGACGTGTTGTCGTTGTCCCGGAAACTGCCCTGCTGTAAGACCTTACAGGTGCTGGACCTGTCCGGAAACTGGCTCACCGACATCGGCGTCGGCCATCTCGGTGAGTTTCATCTTCGATTACTCTTATTACCTTCGCCAAGAAGGTTATGCTTTCAGAGGCGTTCGTGTGTGTGTGTGTGTGTTTGTGTGTGTGTGTGCCTGTTTGTCTATAAACACGATAACTTGAGAAGGCTTAAATGGATTGACTTGATATTTGGTACGTATTGATGAGACCTCGAAATGATTAGATTTTAGGCCCACTAGCGGGTTCTTAAGGCACTGCAGCTGAATGTACGGTTGTTTTGATATCTCATGATCTAGACATGCTAGTAGGGGCACGAAATTTGGATGATAGCTATAGGTACCTCTTGTGCTGGGGAAGAACGTACGCATTTGGTCCATAACACTATCTGTCTGTATCTGTATAGCCGGTATAACCGGCCTTCGGCGTAATTACACACCAGCTATGGTATAGACTTTATGGTTATAAGTTTGTAATTTTGTAAAATACTGTATCTTCTAGGTGAGGCGTTGGTCCATAATCACCAGCTGGCCAGGTTAAACGTGGAGCATAACGGTGTGACGGAGCCGAAGCTGAGAGAACTGGCGGATGACCTGGGCATGACCCGGCCGATAGACAAGCCCGGGCTGCTGGAGAGAACCGTGCCGGAGCTGGCCCTGGACTCAGCCGAGCCGCAGCGGGAACGCAGAAGTCAGTTCAGCTGTTTGTTTGTTTGTTTGTTTGTTTGTTTAGAGTTAAAACTTTACATCCAACACAAAAAAAGTTCCCTCCGTCACCTAGAGCTTTCGACCAGTCACTCTGGTCTTCCTCAGTAGACTAACCCAGTGAAGCTTGTCACGAGGCTTCTTTGAAGTGTGACGTCAACACTGGGTCAAAGGCATCTGGTAGACGATGTCAGGGCCCACCATCCTTCACTTAACCGTGACGGGGGCTGACATCGTCTACCCGATGCCTTTGACCCAGTGTTGACGTCACACTTCAAAGAAGCCTCGTGACAAGCCTCACTAGGTCAGTCTACTGAGGAAGACCAGAGTAACTGGTCGAAAGCTCTAGGTGAGAGAACTTTTTGTTTGTTTGTGGTCGACATGGGGGGAATTCAGGAAGCCGAGGATTGCATACTTCCGGGCTCGATGTTTTGAACTGTATGTATCAACATGCAACAGGTCATTCGGTGTAATATAGCTAGCTGCCGCCGCGCCGCGTGCCCGCAAAGTTGGTGTACATGTGTTATGCCGAAGGGTGGTTATACCGGCTTTACCGATACAGAACTCTTTCAATCTTACTCAATCACTCGATAGCTAGCCGGGATCCGGATATTTCATCAAAGTTTTCCTATTTCTCAGAACACAACCGAGGAAGACTGTCCATTTTCTCAATACCGATGAAGTACAGGGATTGGTCGAAGAGGACTAGTGGCTCTGACGTCACGTCTCTAGAATCGACGTCACGAACGTCCGTGCCGATCTCCACCCGAAGTGTGTCGAGGGTCACTCTTGAGCCGAGCGTACCCGAAGTAGCGCCGACAAATGCCGAAGTAGGTAGAAGTTCTCGCGAGATTCGGGACCGTGAGAGCACGAGACCAGCTGATGACGCAGCCTTGATGAGTCATGCGCAGGCGCACACCATGCCTGCGCCTTTCAAATTCTCGGTTACTCACTTTGACCAAGACAAAGTGAATCTGTAAAAAGATGTAACTTAAGATGATGCGGAGTAAAGAAAAGGCCGAACTTTTCTTGCAGATTTTCTTTATTACGCAAGTGTCAGAATAATTTTAGCATTTTGCAATTCCAAGAAAAAGCTGCCCAATGGCATACTAGTATTGTAAATTCATACAAAAAATGAACAAAAATTATACCCCATTGCTTTAAGGTAATCACGAATATTCTGACATTGTATCTTTCTTAATTCTTTTCATATAATACTTTTCTATTTTGTTCCAAGGTTCATTTCTTTGTAATCACAGTCAATGATTGCATATATGGTGAACAGGTGGTGACAGTATTTTCCTTGACACCGCCCAATTCAAAATAAAATATGATAGAAACTGTCTATACTAGACTGATGTCTTTCTTTATAACAATAGACTTCCTAACTGTGCCACTCGGTGTTTCTCAACTTTCGTCATACATTTGTGTTCTCAGTGTAATTCTTTTACTGAGGCAAAACATCAGTATTTCTTACATCATTTGTTTCTATCCTCAACTAGTCATGGAGAAAAGAACAAGTTAACGCTAGTCTTCGGAATCTACACGTATACCCCTTTGCCTGCTTTTGGTTGCTTGGCCGTCCTTTCGCCGGTTTCCGCCTGTATGATGCCTTCCTTCCCGAAGTTCTCTCCCTCCTCGATGGTGGACGGAAGCTTCATCTTGTTGGTCTCCGGTAGCAGCAGCGCCAACAGTCCGGCGGCGATCGACGCTCCCCCGAAGATGACGTAAGGCATCGGCGCCCAATAGGTCTCCAGCAGGTTCACGAACGGGGCGACGATCCCGCCCACCCGAGCGCTCATCGACGCCATGCCGATACCGATTTGCCTGCAAGAACGAGAAAAAGTCAAAAGCTGAAAAAGGAAGATTTGCAAACCTCCAGGAACTTTTTAGTGTTTCTTTATGAATTTATTGGTGCAGTCGAAGAGATGGTTCCACTTTTGCCGCTCCCGAACTGTTCTCTTAGCGCGGACCAACTCCCCTAGCACATCATCTGTCTATTTGGTCAATTTCTACACTTTGCAGCCGCTTCCCGAAGCCTGGGAGAGGCTAGCTTTTACTTACTTTCGACGTCCCTAGGACAGAAACCTTACCATTATAGACTGTGAGCTTGTGGGCATACCCCCAGGAACTGTGCGGGTGAACTCGCTTGCTTTCAGACTGCGGGGACACCATTTAGACTGCCAACTGGACCTTACGGTCAATCTATGGTTACAAAAAATCTCCCACCCCTTCTTGCCGGCCACTCTAGTGCATTCAAAAAACCTACGAGTTACTAATTCTTACATGTAAGTCTGACGAATGACTAGAATGCCATTTTTGTGTTACTCTAAAAACTAGACATTCCATTGACTTGCTTACCTGACAACGGTAGGAAAGATCTCGGCCGAAAAGACGTAAACAATGCCGAATGTAGCGGTGATGCAGAACTTTCCGATCATGGCCAGGGTGGTGGTCAGCCATCCAAGGGCTGTAGGAAGTCAAAGAGAAGGGGAATTTTACATGTATCAAGAAGTATATTAGTTACGTGTAAGAAGATGTCCAGAGGCCAGTCGTACTGTACGTTAGCCGCAGTTTCTTAGGCCTGATCATTTCTTGTGCCATTTTCAACTGAGGTGAAGCATGATACTTTTTCAAGTAGCTACAGGTGCAATGCGGCTCACCACTGAGGGTTTCGCCCACACCATACTCATCAGCGTGTCGCGTTCTGTTACGATCTAATTCGAGGAGAATCCAGATAAAGACCGTCAGCCCTACTCCCCAAACAGAGGTTTTGGTTTTGGGGGTATTTTTAGCGTGTTGTTAGGCTTTTTTAATCGGGGTTTCTCTTTTGCAATGATTTTTTGGGGGGTTGGGTGGGAAAAAAATTCAGCGCAAAAGAGAAACCCCGATAAAAAAGCTTAAAAACACGCTAAAATACCTCCAAAACCAAAACCTCTGCTTGGAGAGTATGTCAGCCCTACTTACATTTTGGGATGAAGAAGGCCACGATACAGGAGATACCGCCAAAGACGAGCAGGATGCACAGAGGCCAGCGTCTTCCGAACCTGGGACGGACAGAGAGAGGAACATCACCTAAATTGACATTGTGTCTCAATGCTATAGTAGGTAACGTTCAAGAATGCTTACGAACTTAGCATGAGTACATACAATCGCCCAATCACTCTCATCGTTTAAAACGCAAGAAGACAACCAAAGAAACAGGAAAACAAACAAAGGAAGAACTCTGTGACCGCACTGACACCGCGTCGATTGTTTAGCCAATAGGAATGTTGGGAACGATGTAAAAGGCGATTTCAGCGTATTTTATCGACGTTTAACGGCAACTCAAATCAGCATCCTTTACGTACCACAAACTACGCATCATTGCCTCGTGAAAGTTTGTTTTATATATTCCAACATTTCATGACTAGACATGGTGGTGGCACACTCAGGTTATATCAACTTATTTTATGCCGCCACCAACGCAGAGGACAAACACATGACAATACTCATTTTCACTTGAGTTAAGTGAGTTAAGTCGTGTAAAGTGCCTTTCCCAAGGGCACAAGATCGGTGGCATGTCAGGACTCGAACCCGGGACCTCTTGGTTCCGAGTCGAGCATTCTGCTGTTACGACCCCACATATAAAAGTTTGAATGTTTTAAAATGTGATGAAGCAGATCTGAAAGCGTACTTGTTGAGGAGGTAGATGGAGCCGAGGTATGCTGGGATCTCCACCAGACCAGACATGGCGAAGTTCAGGTAGACGTTCCCGCTTAGCGCAGAGGTGTTCAGTGAGATCCCATAATACACCAGGGAGTTCACAGCCCTGCAAGGAAGGGAAAGGAAAGTGTTATAATGTCTCCAAGCAGATCCTAGGGTGGCAAACGACAGTATTGGCCAGGCAGTATCCATTGGCCAGAGAGGGCCTTGGATGGCGTATTGGACCCTCTCTGGCCAATACTGTCGTTTGCCACCCTAGGATCTGCTTGGAGATTAAGCAAAGCGATCTTGATCCAGTTTTAGCTCACTGAAGAGCTAATCTCCCACTGACCGTAACAGACAAACGCTATATACAGTATCTGCAGGTTCATTGCACCGGAGAAATTCCCCTAGCTCCCCTAGCTCTAGGAGTGAATAGTGGACCACGGCTTAACGTCCCGTCCCAAGGACTGCGACCCTTTATAGCAAATATATACACCACTTGACTTATCTCTTCCAAGGTTCCAAAAGTATGTACAAATTGGAAGTGGAACACAGTTTGGCGCTTTACTGACCAGTTAAAGAAGAGGTTGAGAGACCACTTGCGTAGATTCGGGGTCCTGACGAGGTCAATGAACGTGTAGGTCTCACTCTTCTTCGCCTGCTCTTGTTCCTATAAACAAAAAAAATTAAACCACATAAACACGCGTCACAAATTTCTTTAATGATCTTTTCCCGTCTTAACATAAAAAGTGCCCTAGTCACATCTAGCAAAGTACTGCAGTCTATAAGCTGCGGACAGCATACAAACGCGAAGAAGAGTTTTCAATAATCAGTAAAAAAACAGTCGTCATCTTATTTATTCTCAACCTTTGACTACTTTCATAGATGGTTTGCATCTATTCTGTATTTTCTGCGGACAATATGAAAAGCTATGAGAAACAAAGTTGGGTGTGTGTACGTGTACACAATTTTTTTTTAATTCTGCCGCATTCTTAGAGAATATTATGGTCTATAGTCAGTAAAATGAAAAGTTGTCATCTTATTTTTCTCAACACTTGCCCAAAGTCATAGATGGTTTACAGCTATTCTCTGTTTTAACGGACAACATGAAAAGCTTTGAGAAATAAAGTTGGGGGTGTGTACGTGTACACAATACTTTTTAAAATTCTGCCGCATTCATAGAAAATATTATGGTCTATCACCTGAGACAGAGGGATTGCGTCATGGAAGACGTCATCAGGTATGGTGACCTTGGCGACCTTCTCGGCTTGCCGCAAGATGGCGGCCGCCTCCTCGTGCCGGTTCCTGGAGATGAGCCAGCGTGGGGACTCTGGGATTATCCTGGGGAAGGTAAGTTCAACAGATTTATGACCTTTTAACACGCTCACTCGGTGGTTTATATGGTGTTTATGTAATGTAGGTCACTGGCAAACTGTTGTCATTATGTACCATGGAAAAGCTAATATTATTATCATAGAGCCAAGTAAAATTGACACTGGCAGTGTAAAAACCTTGAAATGCCATTATTCCTAAAAATGTGCATTTTAAATGTGCAAATTCTCTTGCATTACTTATGCTTTGACTATGCTTATGACGTCATGGCTTTACAGCCAATAGGAATGGAGCTTGTACTTTGTCTACAGCCGCTGTATGATACTATACCTCACAGCATCGACACTAAACCACTCACTTAACAAGGAAGAAGATATGTCTCTAACTTTGATGCCACAGACCATTGTTTACCAACAAAAGAGACAAAAACATAAGCAACATACAAAATGAAAGAACCTACCACCAAAAGGAAATGCAGACAAGGAAGGGTACAGTCATGGCGATCTGTAGCCACATCCAGGGGCGGATGAGGTAGGCTATCCCGGCTAACAGCACGTACGCCACCGCCCAGTAGATCCAGATCACCATCCCCACCAACCCTCGCTTATCCGCGGACACAAGTTCTGTGCCTAATGAACAACAGAAATTATTAGCAATGCAGCAAGAAAGCATTGGTATAACTACTGTGGCCGACAGATACAAACCTGCACAGAAAAAAAGCTGCGTCGTCTGCGCAAGCACCGTTGCAGGTTTGTACTTGTCTGCCACGGTAGGTAACACCCCCTTTCCACTAGAGGCTGGGACCGCTGAAGCGACCAAAGATATGAATGTCTTCTTCGTTGTTGTCTGTTAAATCACACTTTCACATCTTGTATGCATCACATGGCGATGATAATGCATCCTATTTCAACAGTTATGAAATCAAGGATCACACAGTCCGATTATGGTCGCTTGGCTATCGCCGCCTTGTGCAAAGGGGGATAAGCCTGGGCTATCCAGAACCGTAACTGAGCATGGTCACGGTTCTGGATAAGCCTGGGCTATCCAGAACCGTACTTGAGCATGGTCACGGTTCTGGATAAGCCTGGGATATCCAGAACCGTGCCTGAGCATGGCCACGGTTCGGGATAAGCCTGGGCTATCTAGAACCGTACCCTAGCATGGTCACGGTTCTGGATATAAGCCTGGGCTATCCAGAAGCGTACCGGAGCATGGCCACGGTTCTGGATAAGCCTGGGCTATCCAGAACCGTACCTGAGCATGGCCACGGTTCTGGATAAGCCTGGGCTATCCAGAACCGTACCTGAGCATGGTCATGGTTCTGGATAAGCCTGGACCATCCAGAACCGGGCCTTTGCATGGTTCTAGATAGCGTACGGGTTCTGGATACAGCATATATACGTACCGATGACAAAAGGCACCAGTGTGGTGACCATGGTGAACGTGCCCATGAGGAAGCGGTAGGCTGCGAAGGCGATGTAGTTCGGGGAGAAGGCGCTGGCCGTGCAGAACACACAGTCCGCGGCGAGGGCGATCAACAGCACGGGCTTACGGCCCCATCTACGTACGGGAGAAACAACGTGGTTTATCAGTATAGTTTCAGAGGTTAACTTTTCTTACGAGCACGCACAATTAAGATACTACAAACGAATGTCATCAGTGGTTTCAGAGCTTACACGTCGTTACGATCACGTACGAGTAAGATACTCCAAACGAATCTTTACGCTTTGACCTTCCACCTGACCGTACGTGGTGGGCATAAGAAGTCGGTATCGCCCACCGTTTTAAACCTTAGTCATAAAACGCACTAGTAGAAATGAGCTTTTGTTGTGAAATGAATCTACATTGGACACGAAAACTAATAAGTACGATCAAACTGTTTCACGTAAACCGAACAAACTGCAGTCACGTATCAGAGAAAAATGTAAAAGAAACCTACTTGAAGTTGAAAAGTATCGTTTTGTTTACGTTAATTTCTTGACGTACCTGTCGGCTGCATGCCCCCCGACCACCGCCCCGAACATGAGTCCTGCCATCCACAGAGACTCCGCCAGGTTCACCTTCCAACTGTTCCCACAGACCAAGTCCCACTGGAAAATACAGAACGTTATGTCAAACCTTCCAACTGTTCCCACACACCAAGTCCCACTGGAAAATACAGAACGTTATGTCAAACCTTCCAACTGTTCCCACACACCAAGTCCCACTGGAAAATACACAACGTTATGTCAAACCTTCCAACTGTTCCCACACACCAAGTCCCACTGGAAAATACAGAACGTTATGTTAAAGATAAAGTTTTCTAATTTTATTGTTCCAGTTCCATGTTTTCTGTGATCGGTACGTTTTTTCTGTCCTTTTCCCAAAATGTAAAGGTTTGTCGACATCACATCGTTTATTTCAAAGCTTTAACGCGTTAATCAGATTAAATTTATTTATTGCGGGTTTGATACGTTTTTACTGCTTCGCTCTGTCACAGTTTAATGCCAATTTAGAGGCCCAACTCTTGCGAAATCTCGAGAGATCTCAGAGCCCACACTCCACCATCCTAAGAGCTTTTACTGTACAAAATGTTATTGTGGAGATTTACAGATATCAAAAGAAAGACGTAACTTACATCTGTGACGACAGTGCTCTTGTACTCGGACGTGTCGTGCTCGTACCCCTGATCACACGGGATCTGGGTCCGGTTGGCCGCCGGATGAGCCTCGACGAACTCTGCATAGGTGGTGTTGAAGTCCGCGACCGATAGATTGTAGGTGTAACTAGAAAGGCAAAGCAAATGCATAATGTTTACCTTCGCATATGGTGTGCTCTGTTAATTCTTACCCAAGTACATTCATATATATGGTGACAGGAGTCTAAATCCCTCCTGCTATAAAATTGCAACATTATGTAAGTTAACACTAGACGTCTGGTTCAGGTCATTGACCTTGGTTTGGAGAAGAAGAGGAAACAAAGCAAAACCATGTGACTATGTGGCAATTTTATGAAAAGGGACTTGGCTAACCGTTCGCACTGACTCCGTTTCCATTCCTCGTCCTCCAGCTCCCAGGGGATGGTGACGTTCAGCAGCTCGGCCGGGGTCGCGTTCAGCCCCGAGAAGGCTTCCAGAGACACCCGGCACTTGAAGTCGGGCTCGAACGCAAGGAAGACGATGCCCATCACCTGCAGTGCACTAATGGCGATCGGGATGGCCACAGGGAAGAACACCCTCTTCTGCCACGGACCAAACCCCCCAAGGTACTCCAGAGCTTTGTCGTAGTTCACCACTATTATTTCAGACGCACTCTGGGCAAGAGAAAGGACAGCAAAACAGTTACCCTGGGAGCCAGACTAGTAACGAGCCGTTGGCCGTTTTCCTTCGGCAGCCAAGAGCCCTTCGTCCGCCTATCCAAATCACCGCTACGGAGGAGTTAAGCTAAACTCCCCCCAGGGTCAACTCCCCCGTAGCGGTAATTTAGATAGGCGGGCGAAGGGCTCTTGGTTGCCGAAGGAAAACGGCTAACGGCCCGTCTGGCTCCCAGGGAACAAAACAGTTTATACTTGGCGACCTAGACTACCTGAAACATCGGATTCTGTATCTTCAAATAAAAATCTAGCTCATCCGGAAACTAGCTCAGCAAGTTGGAATATTTTAACGATCATCGACGGGGAAAATGATATAAATCTTCTTGTCTGAGGTGTTCTTAAAACGTCTCATACTAACACTAATGTTGAGACTTTGAGATTAGTAGCGTCACGCCACTAATACATTTTCCTGGACTTCTCGACAGTTTTTTTTTTGACAGAGAACAATAATAATATACATACAGTACATTCATCATCATACTGGCAAAATGGAATAATTTTTGTTCATTCATTTTTTTCAGTCTGTGTGATAGGAGGTTTCTAGATACATTCTAATTTAACCTCTCCCTGCTGCCTAACCTCATATTCAATACAGAACTGGTTCTAAACGGCTACCTCAGCAGGCTAAAAGTTCAGAAAAAGGAGTTTTTGAGACCTTGAGTCTTTCCTTGCCAGCTCGGGCCTCGTTGCTAGGAAACAGAACAATGGCGTCATGATCCACCTCCGCCATGTTGGTGTCCGCCATCGCCACAAAGATCTAAACCAATAGGGACGCTTGTAAGAAAAAATAATACATGTGGATCTACAGAAGCTTATAAGCCATTGTCACACATTCACGATCTTCCCACGACTTGTCCCGACGACTCCCCAACCATGGTCGGCGCTGGGTTGGGAGTAACCTGTGGCTGTAACCCATCCTATTTTTCTAGCTCCTCAACCTTTAAAGACTAGTAGACTATCTCGCCGACCAAGTCCCAACCACCGTGAGATGGAGTTGTTCACAGCTCATTCCCAACCAAGGTCTGGGGAAGGTCGGGTGGTGATTGTTGGCCATGTGTGACAGGGGCGTACAGGCTTATCCCAAATCTATGGCGAAATAGCTGTTATGGCAGTTGTGCCACTTCTAATCTTCAAGCAGATGTAGGCTACGTATACTCTATGATTATGCATTGTTTTAGAGGGGCGAGAAGAAAAAAACAATCACCGCAGGATCATATCATGGGAAACGCGTAAAACAATCCGGTCCCTGCTTCTGCTTGTTAATTCGAAAGAGTAAATAAGGGATACATGTACAACAAGATTTGTAACTATGAACGGTTACTAATTAATTTGCGAAGCGTTCTATGAAATCACAACCATGTATGTAAGAATGACGCTCTTCCAACGCCTAATATATTATTGATGGTTATACTTGCAGCGGGATTTAATAGATGCATATCAGCTGGGAAGTATTTTCATAATTGGCTTAGTTGTCGCCACCTTTTGCATTGAATTAACAAATTTACAGAACCCACGAGTCGTAACATAGCTGCGTTGCACCGTCTTATAGCTATATACTTGAAAAAAGTCATGTCTTACTTGGGTTACTTATTGTTCGAGACGTTTTTCAGCATACTTAGAAATAAATGATTCGACAATTAGTTTTGAAAGGACTGTAATGCATGTAGGTATGTTGCCTCCTGAAGGGTGCATACCTACGTATCTGTGCCCTTATATGCAGGCACGTGTATTGTCAGAATTTGTGATTTTCCAAAGAACATGGCCGCAGTAACAGTAAGCAAGTGTTGTAAGCTAACGATTATCGTCAGTTAAGCCTAATGTTACACGACCGAAAGAAAACTCACAACATTTAGAAAGCCTCCAGTATCAGTCACCTACCTATTAACCGCCTTGACCGTAGGTATGCCGGAGACTGGGCGGGGCTCGACGACCGGTGCTACCGAAGAACTGACGACGAGGGTCCGGTGGTGTGCGAACGAACGACGGCGTTCAAGTCGTGTGGTGGACTCGTGCCAAATTCCCTTTCGTCAGCTCTACAGAAAAAAGGTTGGTAACTACTGCCCTCTGTACCTGACACTTACAATGTCAACGTCGCTTGGGACTTCCTTAATCTAATTAAGTCTTCTTTCCGGTTTCTTGAGACTCGAGAGTCGCTGGCATGATGCGATTAAAATGGTCTGTGCCAGCGATTTGGGAGACTTTTGTTTTAGAATTTTAAACTACTAAGTATGCTATTCATAATAATTACATCACATGTTATTACGGTAGATTAATGACAGAACGCGTGTTCCATAATTGTGAACAACTCTTTCATAGAATATTTCTGCACATGTCAATAACATACGCATGCTTTTTCTCACTAGATCACTGGGGAATGTTATAGTCATGAATTTACGATTATTTACACTCATTTTTAGATGATTAAGGCCATGTTGATTTGATTATATGGATGACATCCTCTGGGAACCCCAAAACTGATTCGAGCGTGCGGATGAAAAAAAAGTTGCCTTCATTATGAAATTTACGTGATCATGAAGGTTGAACAAATGACTAAACACAAAAGGCGAATGATAGAATCTTTATTTTCATTTCTTCACATTTTTTCCCTTTGGAATTGATTTTGGCATCCTAAGACATTAGTATCGTTCTCCAATATTTTTTTTTGCAATCTTCGGCATATATTTGCTAATTTTGCAGTTGCTCTGTACGATTTACAGTATGGTCGAATTTTTTTTTGAAACGGATGAAAATTTATTCGCGCGTGGATGTCATCCATATAATCAAATCAACATGGCCTTACACTATTGGAGACTGTTTTAACATTCCTGTTTGCCCGCAAAACGCGAGGCCGGCGCCTCAACTCCGGCAGTTCCGCCATTAGCGCCAGTCTGATTAGTTTATACCGAGTTTTTTATTTGACCTTCGGGCGTCCCTACGCGCAGCCTGGCAGTCTGGTACTGTCAACACCTGTTTGTAAACTTGTGTTTTATCATTTTATGAGTAGGGATGGTACAGGCCGGGTTTACTGTACGTATACACAGAACAGGGTGCATGTGAATCTTAGTGCACTCAAATTGTATCCATATAGCCGGTATAACCGCCTTTCGGCGTAACACATCAGCTTCACAGGCACGCGGCGCGGCGGCAGCTGGCTACATCACACCGAACGACTTGTTACACCTAACCCTTGAACATCTAGCTCCAGGCACTGTTTAAAGCTAGCGCTATCTAATGACAATGCCCCTACTGTGTTTGGTGACAGCGAGTTCCCCTATGCGATAGCTCTAGGAAAGAATGGATTCTTGAACACCTCAATCCTTGGTTGATAAATCTGGTACTTGAAGGCGTGGCTATTTCTTGTTCTCTTGGGCTGGTAACTATTTTTAGCTGTGCACCCAATTTTTTTCTGTGGGTGCACCAGTGCACCCAAATATTATCGTAGGTTTACGTATGTAAAGATGTTCAATGTATAGTAGTATACAGCATATTCTTAGCATTCAAGTGTCAGAAAAAAATAAAATCATTGTTTTAGGACTTACAGGTAAAGTGAGTAGAATGTCAGCAAAATTTTCATTTCTTAAGATATTTCTTTAATTTTTGGGGGTGCAAAAAATTTTTTCTATAATTTTTGGGGGTGCACCATATAAGATACAGGTAAAGTGAGTAGAATGTCAGCAAAATTTTCATTTCTAAAGAAAATTTTGCTGACATTCTACTCTTTACCTGTATCTTATATGGTGCACCCCCAAAAAATATGTGCACCCAATTTTTTGGATTGGGTGCACCAGTGCGGAAGTTTTCCCGAAAATGAATTTCGAGCCCTGCACAATCAGGCAGCAAACTATTGAACCTTTTTAGTGTTTGTTAATTTGAATATTTGGGCACGACCATAACTTACATGCACGATGCTGTATGTGTGTATGTGTATGTGTTCAAGTGTTTGTTATGAATGCAAAAATTAAGGTTAAAATTAAAACTACTCCTGCACTGAAGTGTGGCCTAAGGCCACATCCGTCCACACTGCTGGGTATATTGTAAAACCAAGAAAATCACTTAAAGAGTACAGATCTCCGCAAAGTACACAAGAAATGTTCTAGTCGCAACATATAACGTTACACCTAACAATAAGAGCTAGTTATCTCGCAATAGCTATAGAAGCTTCATCAATTACTTGCTACTGTAAACCATGCTAACTAACGGTAAGAAAAGCGTGGTGCTTTCTTTAAATCTCTAGAAGATGTACTGACATTTTCTCACCTATTTGAGAGGTCGGACGGCAGGTGACCCTTAATGGAACACGCGTTTTGTTCAAATTACCCAGATCGAACACAGTTCGGGTTCTAGAGAATGTGGCAACTTTACAGCCCAGATTTGACTGGTAGAAGCTGTAGCGAAATTATCTCACCTGTTGGGGAAGATTTTAAGGCATTTCTAATTCAACTACCCTGTTATCGAAAAGGGAGTCTTAGATCTTAGTCAACGGTTATAGTTCTGTCACGATCTGCTACAAAATCAAAATCCTACAAAGTGATACGACCAATGTGACCAACTCTCCAAGCATAGTTTGGTGGGGAAGATTGTGATCTTTCTACCATTTGCCCCTTTTTCTGTCGCTATAATCCCCACCAACGAAACGGCATATGATAGAAAGGTCACAATCTTTCCAACCAATCTCTGCTTGAAGAGTTATATATGTAACCTTGCCGTTAGGCTTACCTGTTTTCTCACCTGTTGGGGAAGATTTAAGGCAGAAGTAGTCCTGACCGCCCGGGCGCAGTGTCACCGTTCCACCCGGCTGACTAGCCGACGCCTACCGTGAAGCTTAAGCCTGTTCACTCTCCATCAGGCATGGCTACTCAAATATCAAAGCGCGTAGGGGAGGGACAAAAAGTCAATAATTCTTCTCTCACGGTCATAAAAAGACCACAAGGCGACCTGTTTGCATGTACACAAGACGGCTTCATACCGTCTTATAAGATTCTTTTTCCGATAATTTCGTCGGAATATTTTCCTTTATATCCACCAGAAATGTTTTGATCGTAATGAGTTAACAAGTTGATGTATGGTTGGGTCGCGACCTTCGAGTCAGTTTGAAAACACTCCAAAATCACCTGTGCGCGTAATGGAAGACCAAGGACAAAGGCCCGAGTGTTCAGGGCGGATCCCTTACTGCAAAGGCGCACTCTTGATAAGTTCATGTTTCTTTTAAAGAGTATACGTAGGTACAATACGAAATACGTATTAAGTTTGCGAATGTTTGCTATAATATACGTTTTTATACAGTACGACATACATCCAACAAGTCATCCACGGCTAGGGGCCCAAAGATTTTGTCTAACTAATTAAGACCTAAGCAAAAAATGCGAAAATGCACGCACAGACACGCACGCACACACATACACACACACGCACGCACGCACGCACGCACACGCACACACACACACACGCACACACACACACACACACACACACACACGCGCGCGCGCGCTCATACACACACACACACACATACACACTCACACACACACACACACACACACACACACACGCCAACCAACCAACCAACCACTGCCTGTAACATTTAGTTAAAACTTAGATCAGTTCATCTTTGTAACCTTTTCACCTTATTCTACACAGGTCAAAAGTGCCGAATCATTACTTTTAATGACGGCGAAAGTTTGCACAAGACAAGGCGAATTAGGGACCATGCGGGGTAAATAAAAAAAAGGCACACGTCATATAGACCAAAAACCACAATATAGCCCTACTGGGGATATTTACAGTGATCTGCATCAGTGACACACAGATGACCCCACAGTTTACAGTAAACAGAATGTCGGCTGAGAGAGCGCAGTTGTACCAGAGTGAGTTTTCTAAAGGGGGCAACGCTTTTAAAGAGGACTATTTGCAGTGTTGAATTACGGTGTCCCTGAATTGTTGACCTCTCTTAGGGCGTGGTCACATTGGCCATACGATCGCAAAGTACTTGTGTTCTAGGGATAGCCGCACTGTACATGTGTCGTGCAAAATTTAGCTGTCCTGTTATGGGCAATCTTTTTTATGAATCCCTTTATTGCTGCATATTTGCTCCGTATCTTTGCCAACTGATATTTGCTGCCACTATACCTACATAGCTTATGGTAAGGAAGCACTATGACGTAGTATCAGAGTTCTGACTGGGTTCTGGACTCTCATTTGCACTGCGTTCTGTGTTATTTCGTACTAGCCATAGTTTGGGTTGCACATCGATATCATCCTTTAAAACTACAAAACAGTTAAATTTGCTGTCCCATATGCCAAGTAAAGTGGATACTAAGATATCAACCCTGGGCCCATAGAAACATGAAAGGAATATATATCTCATTGAACAATTATTTCAATTGAACAATTAAATTGAATTATAAAAAGTAAAAAAAAAGGTATCTTGCGATATATTACACTTTGTTTTTATACACTTAAAACAATACATAAATGTCCACCAGGTGATATGGCTTCTGTCACCCTGTTGAAAATTCTGTCACTTAACTCAGTGCCTAACCCATGTCCTGCGCACATAGTCTTCTACAGTCCTAGACCATTTCCAGCCCCCATGTATACTACAGTGAACAGAGCTCTTATGCCGAGCGTAGGGTGGTGCCCATCTCCATTCCGTAGCCCTTGGGCATCACACAGTTGTGCAAGTCGGCTGGTAGTGCTGTGTGTTTGACCTTCCCACACTCTTTCTCATCCTGAGTAAGGATACACTGCTAAACAGAGAAAGAAGTGTGTACCATTTTTAAAGTCTTTGGTATGACCCGGCCGGGGTTTGAACTCACGACCTCCCGGTTACAAAGCGAGCACTCTACCAATTGAGCTATTGCACCGGTACTTTGTACAGTCCTTGCTCTACCCGGCCATCTCATTCAGTTCTCTGTCCTCCGTGATGAACTTCTTGATGGCGCCGAAGCCCTTCTGACACACGGACATGGGCGGGTACTGCATGGGGTTCCCCTCCACCCGGAAGTCCTGCAGACTGACCAGCCGGTCCATGGTCTTGGGAAGCTTGCGGATGGCGTTCCCGTAGAGCCAGAGGCTCTGAAGCTTCGTCAGGTTAGAAATCTCCTCCGGGATGGCCGTCAGCTTGTTCCTGTGCGCGTGCAGGGTCTCCAGGTTCTCCAACTGCCCGATGGTGGCCGGAAGTGACGTCAGGACGTTGTTGTCCACGGCCAGGACCGTGAGTTGTGTGAGGTTGCCGATGGCATCTGGGATGACCTGTAAAATTGACCTCCTTTGTTTTAAAAACGATCTAAATGTATTAGTTTCCCTTACTATATCTTTGTTTCCGTTAATATCCCGAGGCGAATATGGTGTGATAAAAACTTGTCAGTTGCTATAACCACCGAATCATGCCATCGAGTGAGCGCAGTTCAATTACTATATAAGTCTCATGATATTCATTTATTTGTATTAGTTTTCTTAGTTATATCTTTCTTTTCCGTTAATTCTTTTTCAATTATCATATTAACTTCATGACTATCATTTGTATCCTTACTTAGTTAGTAAGGAGGAGGGCCTTGTACAAGCCCTACCCCTCCTGCTCAATGGTTTTCTTTTATGTAATTTTCTATTCATTCTGGTTGTTTTTTCAAACATGCGCGAATAAACAACCAACCAACCAACCAAACAAACCTTGCACTTGTTGCCGTGCAGTTGTCCCATGTAGAGGCGCTGCAGGGTGGTGAGGGCGCAGATCTGTTTAGGAAAGCGGGAGAACTGGTTACTGCTGGCGTCCAGCGTCGTCAGGTCCCCTAAGTTGACAATGGCATCGTCCAGGCTGGTCAGAATGTTCCCGTGCAGGTTCAACGTCCGGAGGTTCCGGAGGAAGCAAACCTGTGTTTACAGACAAAAATGGTCACATCATCACATAGCGCACCATGTATCCAATCAGCACCAAGGTCAGTGGCAATGTCGGAACCAATCAACGAACAGCAACCAGGGTAATCTGAATCTGTTCACCAATCAGCACCAAGGACAGGGACAATGTAGGAACCAATCAAAGAAAAGCAGTCAGGTTAACCAATCAGCACCAAGGGCAGGAGCAATGTAGGAACCAATCAACAAAAAGCAGTCAGGACAACCAATCAGCACCAAGGACAGGGATATTGTAGGAACCAATCAACGGAAAGCAGCCAGGCTAACCAATCAGCACCAAGGACAGGGACAATGTAGGAACCAATCAACGAAAAGCAGTAAAACCAGACTAAGCAATCAGCACCAAGGACAGGGACGATGTATGAACGTTAACCAATGAAAAGCAGTCAGTTGAACCGATCAGCACCAAGGACAGGGGCAATGTAGGAACCAATCAACGAAAAGTATTCAGGCTAACCAATCAGCACCAAGGACAAGGACAATGTAGGAACCAGTCAACGACAGATCTAGGGCTCCAAGACTGAAGCGTTCTTGAAATTGGCCAGGTATTGCACAAAGGAAAATTTTACATATATACTAGTAGCACAAACAAAAAAAGGCGATTTTAAGTAAAAGCTTTATGTGGAATCTGTGGTTTAGCTCAAAATTTGGGTTGTTGCGATCTACTCACCGCAATAGGCAGGGTGGTGAGGCTCAGTCTCCTCAGCCACAGTTTCCTCAGTTTTATCAGCTTCCCGATGTCTGAAGGCAGACTGGTGAAGTCGTTCTCGCCCAGGTTTAGGTCCCTCAGCTGCGCCATCTTCAGCAGAACCTCAGGGAAGGTCCGTAGTTTGTTCCTGTTGAGGTCCAGCCGGACCACTTCCGTTAGCCTCGTCAGGTCCTCCGGTAGCGATGTCAGCAGGTTGTCGGAGATGTACAGATGTTGGAGCTGCGTTGTCAACACAAAAACGCCTGGATTGCACGATATGTTTACCTTCACATAGGAAAGGCCTAGCTCATCAAACTACTACTACTGTTCTGTTTACTCTTACACAAACGGCCCCTCCAGTTATGTCCTGCAACTTGCCACATAATGTAATTTAAAATATAAAATAAGCCAACACCACAGGGTGTCTGCTACAGCACCGGCTACCATGGTGACAGCCGTCGGGTCCAGGCCATTGGCATTTTTGTTTGGAGAAACGGAAGAAGCACCGATTGCAGCTGCATTCCGTCCTGACTCAGAGCAGAACACAGTGTATGAATTAAACAAACAAACAAACAAAGAACAAACAAACCTCAGTTAGCGTGAAGAGCTCCTCCGGGAGCGAGTGTAGAGCCCTGCCCTGGATGTTTAGCGCAGTCACCGCCGGGTTCCCTCCCGTGTACATCTGTTCTCGCAGGGACAGCTCCTCCCCTTCGTCCGTGACCTTCAGACAGGCGGAGTCCACCCTCCCCACCTGATCTCCACACACAACCGTCCACTGTCCTGTAGGCAGCTGTTCTATCACCCGGACCTCCTCCCCTCCAGCTAAACTGAGCTGGTACGGCCCGCTGGCCCGGTGTGGCTTGACCACCTGCGCGGCAAGAGTGCGAACCAGAGGGCTGGTTCTAGGAGGCTTGACCTTGAAGTCGTGTATTTCGTACTTGACCCTGAGCGCGGCAGAGTCGACCTTGACCGCGTGAGTTCCGTGGACGATGGTCCACTGGGACCCCTCCTGGCTGGTGACCAGTACCTCGTCTCCCGGTTGGAGGATGTAGTCTTGATAGGTCCTGACAGGAGTCACAGCTGTGGCCAGGAAAGTGCGGATCGTAGGGGCACCGATATCTGTAAAATTGTAAAAAATTTGTAAAAACTGTAAAAAAAAAAAGAAGAATCAAACCATTGCGTTGTGTGGGGTAGTGTGGTGTAACGGCAGAGTGCTCTACTCGGAACCAAGAGGTCCTGGGCTCGAGTCCTGACATACCACCGATCTTGTGCCCTTTGGAAAGACTTTCCTCACTTAACTCAAGTGAAAATGAGTTTCGTCCTGCCTGTCCTGTATTTGTTCTCTGCGTTGGTGGTGGCATAAAATAAGTTGATATAACTTGAGTGTGTCGTCACCACGTCTAGTCATGAAATGTTGGAATAATAAAAAAAAACATTGCATTCTTAATCTACAAGTATTTGGTTACATATGTGATTACGAGTATACATGGCCATAGAGAGGTTTTAAACATTCACTCCTTCAAACACAGGCCGATGCACCATATTTTCAACTCAAACTATAACCGTCTTCATAAGTGGATGACCCACAAAAGGCCACAACTACGGTCACGTGACCGCAATGGGCGCATAGTGCATTCATTCGAATGCTGTTCTGAAGTCTGTGTACCTGTTTTTTCATCTTCATCCTGTGACTGCTGCTGTCCATTCGATGACTCTTGATCTCCGTTACTATCGTCTCCGTTACTCTCATCTGCAGTACTCAGAAGTTCCGCTAGGTGTCCCTGCTCTGTCTCCATGAGCGCCTCTGAGAACTTGGTGAGGGTGTCTCCTTCCCGCGTGGTCAGCATCTGGAGCAGCGACCTCACCTGGTCCTCTCGTGTTCCTAGTGCCTGGACAAACAGACATGAAACACTGAGCCCACCCCAGCTATCATTACTATACAATTACTACTCTCCTCGTAACATTACAAAACCCAAACATCATAGAAAAAGTGGGATCATTCGTCTTCCACTGTCTGAAAAAGAACCCATCAAGTTAAAATTTAGTGTTTCGTAGTTAGAGTAGTCACATACTATATTGTGATCCATTGTCCATCCTTTATTGCCATATTGCAATTAGCTACGGGTAGGAACTTGAAATAAAACTTTTTATGATAAAATATATTCTTACATAGTAAAGCATTTAAATACCCATGTGAAGTATGTATGAATGGGTAGGTTGTTCTCATTCAGGTATCCGTATAAGGTATAGATGACAATATGCCTCCGCCCCCAAGGCGTCACCAAAAAGAGGAAACTATATTCTAAATATGGTATACCCTACCATACTACTTAGCGTAGCACTATATAGACGCTGACCTTCATTTCTTTCAGAGCCTTGAAGTCGAAAACACCTTTGGATGCCAGCGCAATGAAGAGATCATCGACCTGCAGTTCACCCACAAACCGCTGAGTGTGCTTTTTCAGGACCGCGCGGTCGGCGTCATCCATGGTGAGGCCTTTGTAGAAAAATGCGTGTTATTTAAAATTGCACATCTTATTTATGTATATATGATCAATGAACTTAGTGTCAGCGCTACCCATAGAGCACCGCATCCCCAGCATGCAATGGGAACTGTGACAAAGGTCAATGACCTGCCTCAAGGCATACTCACGGTACTTTCATATTCGCAGTTTTCGCGGACACTTCTGTACCGCGAATTTATCATTACCGCCACCGCGAACATTATAATAGTCCCGCGAACAGGTCCATTTGTCCCAGACAGCGAAATTTTGCTACCGCAAATATCAAGTGATTTACAGTAGGCACTAGTGACGACAATAATAGTTACAGCATGAAGGCGTGAGTTGTTCAGCCGGACTGACAACTTTCGTCAGACATGGCGTGTTACAACTGGTTAGAGCTAGCAACCATTAGGCACAAGGTCACTGTTCTTCAAAATGGGACCTCTAAGAATGATACTGTATGAAGACATCTTGAGAAAAGTTCATTATTGGTGGTAACAAAAGGCAAGCAAGCATTAACCCCTTGGTTGCCTTTTTACATCAGGAGAACCTAAAAATTTTTTTTCAGAGAATTGGGACAAAAATGTTTTCAAGCTTGCAAAAATTTTTCATGTGGAAGGTTTTGACTTTGTTTTTAGTACTAACGCACAATTTCTTCACAAGTTTAGTTCTTGTATATTATCTTTAAACATGGCAAACGACGCTTCCATGCAAAAATACCACAGGAAAATATGGGTGTCTCCGTACAGAGTATAACGTCATCTCTGTCCCTAGATTACAAACTCCTCATAAATTACAGAGGTCCAAAGCTGTCCCTCAAGGACAGGGTCTGAATTTAGAGTTAAGACAGTGAAAGCTTGTCGTTAGCCTTACCTTACAAGCAACCTCCTCAGATATTAGTCAGTTAAGATGTTGTTTACAGCTGTACACTGACTTGTTGGTAGATGTAATTATGCAGGAACAAATCTGTCTGTATTAGAGACATGTCACTTCCCCTTCAGGACTCTTCCACTTCTGGGGTGGGACGAAAAACTATGCTCTTATTTTTCACTTTCATTTACTGGACATCAAAATAATTTTCTATTCTATACCAACATTTCTATATTAAGTGCAATTCCTGTTGATTTTACTGCACTGTCTTAAGGGGATAGTAGACAGAGTAGTATCCGTATCTTAAGAATTGTAACCCCCTTTTCTTTAACAAAAACTAATAACCCCCTTTTCTGAGGTCTAGAATGGTACAACCTTCTTCTGTCTGCCCCTTTAAATTGGGCAATGGCTCCAGGGTCAAATCGCCTACGGGAAATTCCAAGTAGATTATACATGAAGGTTTGTGTAGAGAACTGGGTGGGTCCTATAAGCTCAGGCGTTGTGCATGTGTGTTTGTTTGTACTATAATTAGGCCATGTTCATTTGATTATATGGATGACATCCTCTGGGAAGCCCAAAACTGACGTGAGCGTGCAAATAAAAAAAGTTTGGGAAAAAAAAGTTCCTTCATTATGAAATCTACGTGGTCATAAAGGTTGAACAAATGACTAAACATACAGAGAATATATTGGTATGGGGAATAATAGTAAACTCTTCATTTTCATTTCTTCTCATTTTCTTTACCCAGAATTGATTTCAGCATTCTATGACATTAGTATCGTTTTCCAATACTTGCAACATACGACATAAATTCGCTGATTTTGTACGATTTGCAGTTCTGTCAAAAACTTTTTTGGAAAGGGGTGAAAATTCATGCGTGTGTGGATGTCATCCATATAATCAAATCAACATGGCCTTACAACAATAATCGCCTTGTGACAAGGGTCATGTTTCAACACTTAGAGATGGGGGGAGGAAATACAAGTATGACTCATCTATGGACTGTTCCATAGTAAAAGTCATAGGAGGGGGTGTCTTTAGTTTTTTTGTTGAACGACAAAGGGTGCTGAGTAAAATTGAAAAGTCTAATGGTGGGCTAGAAAAAATCAGGCCTTCAGTTAGTAAATGCCCGCAGTCATTAAAACATGACTTACATGACTCGGATTTATGTATATATGATTTCTGTACCTATGTTTATGTTCATGTTTTGGTGTCTCATAAACCCATATGGGCTGGGCGACAAAAGTCGCAAGACACCTAAATAAAAATTCATTCACTCATTCATTCATACATGAGCCACTTACTACACAAGAAAATCTAGCTGTACTATCAGTATAAGAGACAAAAAACTACAAACTTGTACATAAATAGATCTAATAATGATGATAAAAAGTCAGCTTGAATACAGTATTTTTTTACTTTATTCTAATCCTTGATAGGCTACATTGCAAAGTTCAAAATGAAGCTTTCAATTAAACTTAATGTAATTTTACCCAAGCTAAGATAATACTACAACTACATCCATGCCAGCACAGCATATCAATGATTTAAACAAATCATAAGTAACAGTTATCAAAAGTTGCAACAAAAAAAGGAGGGTACAAATTAGCCTCGAGGACCACTGGCTCCAATGCAATGGCAAGTACAAGTACATTTTAGCAGCAGCTGCACATTTGCTAACATATAGAAAAGAATGAACAGTTACTTTAATTTTCCTCCTACAGATTTCTTGGAATGAATTCTTTAAAGTCAAATAACCTCACTTTTGCATCAAAATATCTTAAACAGTATATGCTTATTTTTCTTTTTAATTTTTCTAGTTTTTATGATACTCTTACATCATTGTTGTTTTTTGGTTTCTTTCTTTTTGTTTCTTTGTTAGCTTGTGTATTATTGTAGCTCCCAAAGTTATGCGCTACCATGGCAATAAAAGGCATAGTCCTTTAAGGGTAAAGCAAACTCCCTAGCACGTTTCTTTCAAACTGCACAGTACAAAACAAGTAAGTCAATACTAAGGCTAAAGTGTTGATGTGTCAATCAAAAAAATGCCCCTTCCCCTATCCTGGTTTTAATCCGTGACCATCCTTCAAGCAACACCAACAGATTGCTGCAAGGAGAATTTATTTCAAAGCTAAACTTTCACCATATTGGTGTCCTGATTTGCATCTCAATAGATTGTACCTCAAGTGTTACTGACACATCACATCCCCCTTGTCCAGTACTGGAACACTTCGCTGGTCACACTGGTACCCGCCTGGTACAGTGCAGTGACTTTTACATCATATCGACTCCTGCTGTTGAGACCATCCAGTATGTACTCCAGTCCCATGATGTTAGAGATCTCTCCCCAGTCATCATTGGTCTGTATCTGGTAGGAAGACCTGGCAGCCAGCCTATATGAAGAACAACTTTATTGCACGACAATTGTTATAGTTATACATGGTACAATGTATGGCAACGACTATTTAACCATGGAGCTATAATTTGAGATGATTGAACATAGTACAAAAAACTAGAGAAGTAACATTTGCAAAGCAAATGCATAATGTTTACCTTCACACATGGTCTGCTCAGTTAAGTCTTACTCAAACACATTCACATAGTACATGTACTACTAGTATATGGTGACAGGAGCAGAGCAGACTGTGAAATTGCAACATTATGTAACCCAACACCAGTCACCATGGTGACAGACGTCAACAAATCATGTCATTGGTCAGGTCATAGGTCACTGTTTGGAGAAGAAGAAGAAGAGGAAGAAACAGAGCAAAAAACGAATATGTTTTCCTTCGGTAAACATAAAAAAGAAAAGGGTGTAGAATGAAAATTAACATCCTAGTTATTAAACATCAAGAGCTAATACAGTTAACAGTATACAATCAAGAAGGGCTAATCACGAGTTTCTTAATTTTTTCTGATAACAAAACAGTCTTTCATGTATTTACCTACTAGTACTACAGTATTTTTGCTTTGTAATAGTTGTCGCATTTGAATGTATGTATAAATTTGTCCATTATTAAGCATCGAGTCTGTTGAAAGCTATTGTACTAGATTGGATAAGTGATTACCTATAGGAGAGCAGGTAGTAGATGATCTTCAGGTCCCCCAGGTTGTAGTCACACCACTTGATCTGGATGGAAGAGCCGGTGGCATTGCCTGCCTGGAGAACTAGGGGGAGGGGGGCTGGGAGATGCAGGTATGTTAGACAAAAACATTCTGTATCTGTATAGCTGGTATAACCGCCCATCGGCGTAACACACCAGCTTTGCAGGCACGCGGCGCGGCGGCAGCTGGCTATATCACACCGAACGACTTGTTACTCTCAATCTTTGCACATTTAATTGCAGGAGTTGTTTAAAGCTTTCTAGTGATGATGCCCCAACTGTGCTTGGTGACAACGAGTTCCAGCGATAGTTCTAGGAAAGAATGAATTCTTTAACCTCAATCCTTGGTACTTGAAGGCATGGCTATTTGTCGTTCTCTTCTGGGCTGGTATTAGGTACTTAGTAATTGGGACGTCCACCAGTTTATTAGTCATTTTGTACATCATGCATAGTCTGGACATTTTTCTTCTGTCTTCCAGTGACACCCACTGTAGGTTTCCTTTCATTTCCGTGACACTAGCACCTCTTTCATAGTTGTTCACACAGAATCTTGCAGCTTGATTCTGTACCCTTTCCAGTTTGTCTTTGTCTTTCTTTGTATATGGATCCCATACTTTCGCTGCATATTCAGGGTTCGGTCTTACAAGTGACGTGTATGCAAGTGATTTTACTTATTTTGACTTACGTTTAGTGAAGAGTTCCACAGTTTCGGGTGGAGAAGGCCCACACTTGTTGTTAGCACAGATCTGGAAGATGTACTTAGTACTGGGCCTGAGGTCTGTGAAGATCTGGTAGGGCTGTGGACATGTCACCTTCGCTATCTCCTCTGTCCACGATAGCGTTTTGATCAGGCACGTGATGGTGTAGCTATCTGTGGTGAGGGTAGAAACATTTCATGCTAGAGAGAGTAAGCCAGAAGGCTGAAACATTGGTGAAGGTTAGACATCCAGGTAATAAGATATGCCAATTAATTAGAAACAGTCACTCAATCCAAAATCATATCCAGTTGTTTTAGTAACTGTTTTTTGGTGCACCAGAAGGCTAAAATTTAAAAAGTACATTTAGAAAGTACATTTAATGATTTACTAACTTTTAGCATTAAAATCAATCTAGATTTTTTAATTATGTTTAATGTGTTTGCCATTGACAAGTACATAGTCTGTAGTATTAAATAATAAACTTTACAATTGTACAAGGTACAAAATATGGAAACTACGGCTACATAGCTACAATTCCATAAGACCAATCTACCTAGTAAGGGATGAAAATGGGCTTATACAATCATTGGAGGAGTATCTATGTCCAGACATTCTTTAACAAATTTTTCTATGTATGTCATGCATGGGATGTCATTATACATATCTGTAGCAGCATTGTGCTTAATAATATACTTACCAACGACACCTTTAGTCTTAGGCTGCCAGTGCAGGATAGCTTTCCCACTGGTGGCATGGCAGGCCTCTCTCAGGATTTCTACTGGTCCTGGGGCTGGGAAAACAAACAGTACTGTAGGTGCTTACTGCTTCACCACAGAAGCTTATCTTGCTAACAAACCTTTGAGGCCCATTCAAAAAGCAATTGTTTTAAAGATAGATAGCATCACGACATCACAATAATACAATACTGCTCTAGCCAATAGGTCCAGGTGTGTTGAGTTCCTTATGTACTCAGCAGAAACTAGGAAAGAAGAAAACACAAATTTCTTAATTCCACATGAAGGCATTTCAGCACCATCGCCACCTGCCATGTCCACAAGCGCCACCGTTTGATCCTTTGAAGAACTGCAGGGAAGGGGCCAGCTGAGCACCACACATGCCTTATGCAAACCGAGACAGTTCTGTTATGACCTGTCCCAAAGCCTTTTCAATCCCTTTATATGCCTAGCCTCTATCAGGCTTCGGGAGGCAGCTGGAAAGAGTAGAAACTGGCCAAAATAGAGAGATAATAAGCCAAGAAAGTTGGTCTGATAGTGCAGTTTGCCGTACATGAAATGTACTCCCTATCGGACCAACTTCCTTGGCATGTTATCTCTCTATTTTAGCCAATTTTTGCTCTTTCCAGCTGCTTCCCGAAGCCTGATAGAGGCTATTATTTGCCCCACTGCTGAACCGACATCCTGTAAACTGCCCCCTAGCAGTTTGTCCCCACACTGCAGCCTGCTGTCCTGTACCTGCCAGGAAGCCCAGTTGTGTGACCTGTTGTCTGATTTCATCCAGGTTGAGGAGGAAGGAGTCAAACAGGATGGAGGCCTGGGTAGCTCGCTCAGGGATGGCCAGGAGGGACTGTCCAATTCTTCATGACAGTAAGACGACATGGACTTAACATGGCCCAAAATTTTATACAAGCAATTCCTAGAGATAGCTTGCCAAGGTGTTTATGAAAAAAGTACATTTTGTGACAATTAAAAGTTTTAAAAGTTAACATAATACTATTACTTGGCAATATTGCTAACTTGTTACTAGTTAATATATTATTTGTAAAGAGTAAAAAAAAAATGGATTTTGATTATGCATACCTTCCATCCACCTCTCTCACACTCTGTAAGGAAAATAAGGGCAGTTAACGGCATTCATTTTTGTGTAATTCGCGGGAATATGACGTGGGGAGGTGAACAATCACCTGTTTTGTCTCCCCTCCATCTTGTTATGGTAAATCCAAATAAAGAAATTTATATTACTATTGATAGAATACCCACCCAACAGATGTATTTAAAATGCATCGATATCTAGCATTTGCGTGACTTTATAGAGCAGACATAAAGATGTAGATGATACAATAAAATGTCCTGTGTATTCATTTCTTCATTTATTTACTCCATTCTTTCGATCCTTCAGCTGGATGTACCTGTAGGAAGCTGGCATGGTCCTCTTCCTTGAGTGCTTCATTAGCGTACATCATGAGGGCGTCCATCTTCTTCACCTGGTCCTCGTGGGTGGCCAGTTCTACCTGCAGCAGCTGGGTAACACATAAAGTCAGTAAACTAACAACATTACCACTTTTTACTCATTCACTCACTCGCTGACTCACTCATTCACTGACTCACCCACCCTCACACTCACTCACTCACTACTTTTTCACGGTTATTTTATGTTTGCGGTTTTCACACTCACTTCTGTACCACCATTACCGTTAACAAATAATTTGCTGGCTTTCTTTATTCTGCACCCAATGCCACTGTGAAGATACTTGCGTGAACACCTCCTTTTTTCTCAAACTGTGAACTTTTGCTACCGTAGCTAGCCTGGGTACCATCTGGATTTTCGCTCTGCAATGTTTGACAAAGTCACAAGTGTAATGCGTACCAAAAATCCGGATGGTACCCAGACTAGCTACCGTGAACATAAGTCAGTTTTCCCGTCTCTTGGGGTTTAGACGTGCTTGTACACTGATGCTGAGGCATTTTATTATTCTATCACGAACCAAGGATACATGAGGTAGTGAGTCCCAAAGGTTCAATCCTTACCTCCAGTTGTACCTCCTTCTCCTGTTCCACCTCCCTCAGCATGGCGTCTCTCCTGTTCTGTAAGTTTCTGCAAAGTTCCTCGATCGCTGACGAGAGATGAGACTTCAGACCATCGCTGTTCCTCTAAAGGACATGAGAAAAGGTACAAGAAAGGTCTGTTTAACGTAAGAACTTTTGTTCCTACACAAATAATTGTTCTCATCATTCTAGAGCCTTCGAGCAGTCACCCTGGTCTTCTTCAATAGACTGACCCAGTGAGACTTGACACTTCAGAGAAGCCATGTGACAAGTCTCACTGGGTCAGTCTACTGAAGAAGACCAGAGTGACCGGTCAAAAGCTCTAGGTGATAATGTTTCTTTGTGTTGGATCAATAGTTTTAACTTTAAACAAACCTATGACAAATTTAATGTAATTGTAACTTACATTAATGACTATCCCATGAATCTATTCTTTACATCTAGTCAAATTCCTCACCTCTAGTTCAGTGATGGTCTGTTTGACTTTGGTCACAAACACACCCAGTTCCTGTAACTCCTGTTCCAGTCTGGACACACTGTTGGCCACTGATTCCTGAGGTGAAACAGAACATCTTTTTTTGTTAATTTTGTAGTAGACTGGTAAACTGCAAAGGTTTTTTCATAGTTTAACTTTTGCAGCTGACACAATTTTGTAGCAAAGTTAATAACTGTAACAAAACTGTTTCAGCTGCAAAGTTAAAACTCTGAAAAAAAACTTGGCAATTTGCCCTTCTACTACCATATTAATCAAAGTCAGTCTGTTCGTAATACATTAGAAATGAATATCGCTGTCATCTGCACTGAACAGGTTACTGTGAAAATATGGGAATAAAACCACTACAAATACTTCCAGATAGGGAACAGTACCTTTTTCTGCCTGTACATCTGTGCAAGAGCTGCCACCTTGTGTTCGCTGTGTTTGCCCACCAGTTTACACAGGGCACAGATGGGCATCTCATCCACACAACAGAACATGTTCAACTTCTCATCCTCGTGGTCAGGACAAGTCAGGACCTACAGAACACAACAGAACATGTTCAACTTCTCATCCTCATAGTCAGGGCATGTTAGAACCTACAAAACACACACATGGAGACAAGTCAAGGTAACTATAAACTTTAAGGCCCTATACAATTATAGCCTTTAAATATTTACCTTCACCTGGTCTAACCAAACAAATTACTGCAGCACTGTTAATTCTTACTCAAACGCATTCATATACATTGTATACGGTGTCCAGCCCCTGCAACTCTGTCCTGCTACATAATGTAACCCGAGGGTTGTCTACTACAGCACCAGTTACCATGGCGACAGACTTCTGGTACAGGTCATTGACCTTATTTGTTTGGAGAATAAGATGAAGAAACAAAGCAAAAACAAATTGAATATGTTTTCTTTCTGCGAAGGTAAACCGTAAACATAAATATCTGACATCAACTTATAAATGAACTTCCCTACTTATTGGTAATACATTTTTGTGAATCGTTTTCATATATATTGTTGCACCTTTCGTTTGGCCTGTTGTGGTTCTACCAGCTTGTGCCTGGTGAAAGCCTTCTTGTTGCTGGGATGAGTGGTCCTCACACAGTTGTCACAGTAGGAGATCTGACATGTCAGGCAGGTTTTCGTAGCTGTGGGAGGGGGGTCCGCATCACACACATCACACAGCACAGGCGACGGTTTGGTGCCCTTGGCCAGATCTCGATACCTGAACCAATATACAGTAAGGTATAAAAACAACCTAAAGAACTGTGTGTAATAATTATTAATTTTCTATATTATAACTAGAAAGGTAACATTTGCAAAGCAAATGCATAATGTTTACCTTCGCATTATGGTCTGCTCTGTTCATTCTTACTCAAACACATTTATATACATGTATATGGTCAGACAGGAGTCTAAATTCCTCTTGCTATAAAATTGCAACATGATGTAACCAAACACTAGTTACCATGGTGACAGACATCTGGTTCAGGTCATTGACCTTTTGTATTTGGAGAAGAGTAAACTGAGGAAAAACAATATGTTTCCTTTGGTAAACATAATGATATGCTATAAACATCATACATCATGACTACTAATAACTTATAACTCCAATATGTCATATTCTATTTTTCAAACTTTATTAAAAAGATACCTTTCAATGATGTTCTCCAGTGTGATGTTCCTACGCAGACTTTCCAGTCCTCTGCCTGACTCAAACTCCACGTCTTTTCTACATGTTGGACAGGGGAAACTTGTAGGCTCTACATCATCATCATCCTCCTCATCACTTCTAAAATCTTCCAAAACAGCATCTTCGGTTGCTTCTTCCTCTTGGATGCCTTCATCGAAATCTTTGTCATCCACCGTCAAGGCAGCAGCTTTTTTAGCTGCTTCTTCAACTGGAAGTTCTTCGCCGTTTTCATAAAACTTCAAGGCCGCTTTTAGGTATTCTTGAGATTCTGCGATGTTTGTTTTGATGTCTTCGATGTCCTGACTGGTGGGAGTTTTGTTCCCATTGTCCGTGTCAGGTGAGCTGGCTGGACTGGCTCCTTCAGCTGAATCACTTTCCAGTTCAGCTGTCTGAGCGATTTCTCTGTCAGGTGCAGGGGTGTCCAGGTCACAGTCTTGAGGGTTTTCTTCGTCTGTTGGTTCATCTGTGGATTCAACCTCTGCCTCTGTTTCTTCTTCCCTTTCAGGTGCAGTTGTTGTTTCAGGTGCTGTTGTTGCTTCAGGTGCACTTGTTGTTTCAGGTGCAGTTGTTGTTTCAGGTGCATTTCTTCCTTCAGGCGCGCTTGTTGCTCCAGATGCATTTGTTGTTACAGGTGCACTTGTTGTTACAGGTGCACTTGCTGTTTCAGTTGTAGTTGTGGCTTCAGCTGTTGGCTCTACTACGTCATCTTCAGTTTTATCTTCATCTGATTCAACAAACTCAACGTTTTCTTCTTCCCCATCCGGCTCTAAGGAATCTGTATCCACATCTTCCTCCAAAATGTCATCCTCAGCTTCTGTTTGAGTCTCTGACGCTTGAGGAATTGAAGTCTCTGGTTCGGTGGCCTTTTTGCCCTGCAGAAAATGGTGGATGGAAATGAAACGCCTGTGAACGTCAACTGTACTCAAGATCATCATGAACGTTAGCCCCACAATGACTTGCAGGCTGTAGGAGGCAGTTTTGTACAACACTGTCATGACATATACAGCTGAGTGTTTTAGCCGGCAAAGGAAGCACATTGGGACACATATTTTGGCACTGGGAAAATGCTTTTTGTTGTTGTTACAACTTACAGTAGTATTCTGACTGTGAGTACTTGCCTGGGGGTGTACAGCCAGTAGGTGTGGTTCTAATTTTCCACTGGTCTGTCTCCCGAACAAAGCTTTTCAAACATTACCAACACTTGGGGTGACCTTCTCGGGCAAAATTATCTTCAAAACACCAGATTAAATATGATAAAAGGGCAATCAGTACCATGTAATGTAGGTAATATTTTCTACAAGGTGTCCTATTGTTTTGTGAACTTACATGTAGAAAAGTTCTTTGTTACTTTTTTTACTGTGTGAAACAATTGATTGGGACAACCCAAACCGGTTCTTTTGCACAGCTAGGTCAGGTCTCTATTTGTAAATTAAAGCTTTGCGTTGTAAATTATTAAATTGCCAATGGTCATAAATGCTACAGACAACGGTTGAAGACAACAATAGAATTTAGAACAATAGAAGTTACAAACATCAGAAAATCAGCTGAAGATAATTATCATTACCTGTAGTCTAAGAGTTAACTTTGTACATTTTAAGCTATCAACCTATTTTGACCTTAAAATGAATCTTTACCAAAGCTGTACACTTTTGACTTAGTATATCAACAATTATCACATCTGCAAATGTCCAGCACACACTTAAAGCTCCTTGTCACAACTAATCCTTTGATTATCATTTGTTAAACTGTGATCTTTTAAAGAGAAAGTTATCTTGAATCAGTTAAGCTAAAATGAACTCAGTTGAGCTACTCTTCCACTGGTCATAACAGTTAAGACAGACACTATGTATTAGGATATACAGGTTCATAGTATTGGGAAAACTACGTAGCTCTTTTCAACAAGTACATGTGCAAATTAAACATTGGACGACAGATTAACGCTCTATATAGCTATGGACTGCGACCCTTTTCAGTACCATGCATGTTGGGTAAGCAACACAGCCGGGATTTGAACTCCTAACCTCTTGGTCCAGAGGTCCACTAGACTTCACACGCTACTTATTTACAAGTTATATCAAAAACAACAATAGGTATTGTAAAATCTTGATTTTTAGTTATGGCTCCCAAGAATTGTTGCAACCCAACGAAGAAAAAATAGTAACATTTAGCTAAATATGTAGAATAATTTGCCAGAGGTGTTTTCATTTTCTGAGGGAAAATGTTACCCTTGCTAGCCAATTGTTGACTGTCTGTATTTTCAAATCGAATTTGAGCTATAATTTGAGCTAAATTTGACCCTGAACACTGCTGAATCACCTTTTTCTGCGCGGAGAGTAGAATTTCCTCTGCACATCTCTGACACAGGTTGTGTAGACAAGGCAGGAGTAGGGGTGTATTGTACAACTCCAGACACACAGGACAGGTCAACTCACTTTCTAATGCCTCCATCATTCTTCTTCCAAATCTGCCATGTAAAAACAAGTCAGTTTAGAGAGGGACAGGGTAAACAGAGTAATTTTACGGAATACAGTACAATTTTACTAGCATACAGTGCAATTTTAAGGAATACAGTGCAATAGTAATACTGTAGTATACAGTGCAATTTTACTAGTATACAGGGGTGCCTAATTCATACTATCTAATACAATTGCACTGTATTCCATAGAATTGCACTGTATACTAATACGATTGCACTGTATTCCATAAAATTGCACTGTATACTGATACAATTGTACTGTATTCCGTTAAATTGCACTGTATTCCGTAAAATTGCACTGCATTCCATAAAATTGCACTGTATAGGTACTCTGGCACCCCTGAGCTCGAGGGATAGCCTCCTTTGCAGACTTTAAATATGTCACTGTACAAACCACAATCAGTTAGACTTAGAGGGATAGCCTCCTTTGCACTTCTTAGAGTAGTTGGAGCAGGTTTTGTTTTTTGGGTGGGCGTCATTGATACTGTATACATTATAATGGAAATACATGTAGAACATTTTAACCCTGGTCCTGTATTAAAGATAAAGCAAGTACTCTGAAAAGTTACACTGAAAAGTACATTCAGTAACAACACATACATGTACATGTACAAGACCAAGTCTTGTGCAAAGTAAGGATCTTTAAAAATGTTACAAGCTTTGAATACTCTGCAAGAGGTCAACAACTGCTTTATATTTTGCAAAAGTATTTGAACAACTTGTCAATGTCACAGTAGTTAAACCAGTATATAAACATGTACTTACATAGGTGGCTCAGTTAGTGTACTGCATTTTCAGATGGTACACACACCATGGTATAGGTGTTTCTTAGCTGTCCTCCCTCAAAAAACTTGCATTGCATTTGTCTGTTCGCCACAGAAAGCCAACGAACAAATTGACGTTGTCCAACAAGAATGGCAACAAGTCAAGGGTCATAGTTTGTTCTCAAATACGCCCTGCAAGGTAATTGGTCGCCTTCAGAAATTTGAAGTAAAAACCCTGAGGGTTCATCTGACCTGGTTAACAAAAGGACACTAACCTCTCTCTCCTGTATAAATGGTAAAAACATTGATCAAAGTGTGTTTCATATTATTTTTCAACAAATTTGACTTTCTTTTTGCACAAATTAGTTCTTTTCCAGCTCATTGGTCAGTCAGTGTAATGTAATCAGTTACTGGTGTGTTGTGCTGAAGGGCGGTTATACTGGCTATACAGATACAGCTAAAGTGATTCATCATTGTCAAATGTCAATCATTTAACTGTTGCCATGGCAATTACCAGTACCCATGTAGAGGTGCAGGTCGACTAATGATTTTGGTAAGTAGTTCTAGTACTAAGTACTAAATAATATTGCCATCTGCTAGAATGCAGCCATTGATACTGTACAAATTATAACGCAAACTACATGATGCATATCAAGTATGTACACACTTGTATTTTGAAAAACAACATAACATGCATAACATACAATACAGAAATACTATATACAAGTCCTGTATCAAAATATCAACACTGATTTGTGCTACATCTGTATCTTTGAACACAAACAACAAACTGTATTATTATGAAAACTTCAATCACAGATTACATGAAAATATAAACAATCTTGTATCTACAGTATCTGATCTAACTTTGACCTAAACTTTGCCTAACACATTATGTGACTGCTGGTAACTCATTATACTGACTAATAGTGTTAATACTTGGGGATCTTTTTCTACAAGTTTGCCACTGTGCAACTCGAGATCTTTCTTTACACTGTTGTCTGAAATATCAAACATTATCCAAATCCTTGTAACAACAAATTTGAAGATGATACAGTTGTGTGGATGGTTAGTTTGAAGGAATGAGTTTTTCAGTGCTGTTATCTAGTCCTGATAGGCTTAGCGTAGATGGGCTCCACGTAATCAAAGATGACGAGAAACACCAGGGACAGGAGAGTAAAGATGACCATGAAGACTAGAAGCACTGTTCTCGGGATCACCATGTCATCTGAAAAACATGAAATTTTACCTCAAATATCACTCACACACTGTTCGCTTTATATGTCAGTTGTCAATGTTCTTGAACAAGAAGCAAGAAGCTTCAAATACATGTAGTTCTAAGCAAGGTACTGTAATCTCCAAGCAGATGCTACGGTGGCAAGACATTATCCAATTGGCCAGAGGAGTGTCCATTAGCCATCCATTGGGTGGCAAATGGATACTGTCTGGCTACTGGATACTGCCTGGCCAATTGGATACTGTCTTTTGCAGCCACCCAAACATCTGCTTGGAGATTAAGGTACTATTCTATAAATAAGAATAGGGAATTTTGCAAGACCATGAATATACTGTTCTATACAGCTTTGAATATGGTACTCTTCAAATGAGGTAGGAATAGCCTGGAATCCAGTCCTGTATGTTACATTTACATGTAGTCTCTCAACAGTTGCAATTGTGTTCAACTGTTTCAAGCAGACTACAGCTAACAAGATTATGATCCAGAGTCTAGGCTAAGACAGAGAACCTGGTCAAATCTAGCCTGGTTACCAGACTTCTGTATGCAGCACACAGCTTTTTTGCACTACTAGTACTACTTCTTCTTCTTCACTACCCTCTAACCACCCCTAAATGGGGTATCACTGAGGGGGGGAGGGAGCGGTATGCGGTTACGGCAGGGCGGCTTCTACCCTGGCTACTACTACTACTGATGTTATAGAAAACAGTGAAACCTGTATGCTGTCTTGTGAATGTCTGAGGACCAGGTTAAACCTTTTTACCTGTTATGACTGTTGCTTGTTCTGCCGCTGTCTCTGGCTGTCGTGGCAGTACCACAAGAATCACTGTCGTAATGACAGCAAGCGCAACAATACCAGCTGCCACATTCTGAAACGGACAAGATGTATGCACCATTACATTTTTACAAACAAAAATATCATTATTGTATCTCTATAGATAGTGTTTATCAACAGTAACAATGCTGCAAATTTCAAATGCAAAAAAAGACAATACCAACAAACCAAAAATCATAAAAATCTATTCAACCTCTTCAGTTTTCCCGTTTTGAAGCTTCTAACAAAATGCCCCTGCAGTTCCAAGAAAATCTGCTAGGGGGCCCAAATCAATAGTACCCACCTACATGTATTTCCAAACCCATATAGCCTGGTTACCAGACCTTAAAACCTAAACCCATATGCTACCCTAGGCTGAGTGTTGTCACCTAATCTTTTAACTGTCATTTGATTGATGGATGGATGCATCGTGCATGGTGAAAAAAGTTGTCTACTGTCTACCTTAAGAGCTCCTCCAGCCTTTGTAAAGGCAATGCACAGGAATAACGTCAGCACAATGATGACAGCTAGCAGGAACAGACCAGTCCCAACTCCAAGAACCCGGGCCATTGTAACTGTAACACTAACGTTAACAGTATACAATCCCAGTTGACGTTGCAGTCTGCAAGTTGCTTCTGAATCAGTTGGTAATATTAGTGCAAAGACTGGTCACTTGTTTGTATTCACATGTTCTGCAAGTAAAATAAAGTTTGTATGTTAGTAAAAAATGCATACTTTCATGTTAAGTTCTATCAAAACACTCCTTAATCCAAACAAGGTTATACGGACTTAAATCTCTTGGATCAAAACAAACGCCGTCACTGAGGTTTTGGCTACCATACAAAAACTCTAGTCCATTGATGTGATATAAATAATTACTAACTTTTCACAAATAACATGGTAGCATGGCCATTAGTCATTACAAAACATCTTCCCATAATATCCAGAAGCAGTGATTGTAGCAAATATTTGGAAACTTTCGCCAGAAAATACTGAACCTTTGTAATCAATTTACAACAGGAATATCAAACATATACAAATCAATACGTGCTTAAGAGTCTTCTGCTGCGATTGTTCATAACATAACCTGTTATGGTAATAGTATATCCTTATGTGTGGATTAAATATGAACTGAATTTCCCGCCCTCTAACTCTGAAAATAAAAACAACATTCCCTGAGAAAATAACAAAATCCATACACAACCATTGAATCATAATTCAGGGCACACCTCTAGAATCAGACGCTACAATAATTACAGCGATCAGAGGTGTTCCTTTTATATAATTTCAAGTTTAGACAGTGCCCCCCTCCCCACCGTACCGTGTGTTTCTGTTTTCACCTAAAGCATCTCACCTGCCACCATTCACCGCTTCTTCTTCCGGGCCGACTCACTCCGCACCAAGAAATATAACCCCTTAAAACTAATTTTTCTCCACAAAACACACAGTTTTTTCACAGTTTTTTCACCTCAAAATTTGGATTTTACATTTTGAATACAATAAAGGTATTTGAGGTGAAATATTTTGTCGTAATTATGAAATATTCAATGTTTTGTACGACATTGCGGATGGATACAAAATTGGCCTCTGACCTCTCAGCCGGGATTGTCAACTTTTCAGCGTTCTCGGGTTACATGTTTGGTCTGGGGATTCGAGAGTCCGGAAAAAAGCAGTGGGCTTTTCTTCTTCAAAATCACCACATTTTGGTGATTTGAAGGCGCTTTTATCGTTCAGAATATTCAGAGGAGATTCTGAGGGAGTTGTAGGAGTCGTGTATGGCGTATCAAGGCAAGGGAATGCCTGGGCACGTTCACAACTACCGGCCTGTCCAAGGACCGAGCGGCGGGCAGCCGTCCAACCAAGTGCCGAGGACCGTCCCTGGAGCTCCGCCTAGAACCGTGCCTGGGCAGCAACCGCGATCTCACCCCACACAAGCAGATGTTCGCACAAAATCTGTGCTAAAAGAAGCCGTCGATGCCGTGGTGAACAGTTTTGCTAAACACACACACGGCTATGGAAGAGGTGAGTGTTTTTTTGGGGTGGTACTGGTAGAGTTGGGGAGGGGGGCAGAGAACTAACTACACAAAAACAACAGTTGATTTTTGCACGAACACGCTATCCCGTTTCACAACCGATCGTTATGTTTGTCCTCTTGTCCATTTGGTAAGGATTATCACAAGCACTCCAGTTGCGGGGGAAAGTTTGAAGGGGGTTCTTTCACGAGAAAATGTTTTGTTTGGCAAAAATCCACCAAAAGTTATCAGACAGTTGCATTTAATTTTAAACATATGCTTGTAGCAAGATAAATCTAGAATAATGTTTGAACGTTTCAGTAGTCTGTATTCAGTTAAAAGAGTATAGTACAAACTACACACAAAATTAAAGTACGAAATAATCACATGCCTTACAGCTACCTGTATGCTTAATTCATGCCGACATTTACATATCTAAAGGTATTTTTCTTCCCCCTCATTGAGTGTGACTGGCTTTGATTTTTCTGCATACCAGAAGCCACTCAGCTCTTACCAATGGTTTCCTTTGTCCATCAGTTGTCTGGTGTTCCTGTCCATCAAGGTCGTAAAGGTTAATTGTTCTGGGTAATTAAGACCCAAATTTCACAAATTGCCTTGCTCGATTACATTGTGCACATACTAGTATTCTGTATTTTTCTGCCAACCAAAGAATGTTAACGTTACATTCTACCAGAAATATTATAGTGTTTGAACATTCCGGTAGATTTTCCGTTTCGTAACATTCTAATAGCATTTTTTCACAGAAAATAGAAAATAGCTGGTTTATCCCTAATAATAAAATTACTATTGATATTATATGTATATCAATAGTAATTTTACTGTAACTGCTGGTACTGTATTGAAGTGCATAGCTGCATTTCTAACATAGGAACCAACAGACCCTTATTGTTCAAAGGATTTCAGGAAGCGACAAGCATCCTCTCAGCTCTAGGGGGCTGAAACTGTATCCAATCCCTGATGTTTTGTACAATTGTCTGTGCTCAGTCATGTAGAGAGATCTCCAGATACAACAATAATCTTGTTTTGGTTTATGTAGTGAAGTAGAATTTACTTTAGATACTTTGAAGCAAAGTCATTACTAGTAGTACTCATGAAATGTAAATACTAGTAGACCTTTGCAGATGTGTCCATTTATATAATTATAACCTTGTTCTGAAAACACTTTACTGCAAAAACTGGTCCTACATTTTGTTTTGAGTGCTCCATTTTTGTCATTAAACCTGTTGTCCTTGATTATACATTGTATTTATAGTAAATGGCCTATAAATGACTTGTTTCTAATACCATACAACCTGAAATATTGCTAAAATTTAAAGTAAAAGTAGGTATCTTAAACGAGCTGCTTATAATCTTAATGAGGCCTGACTGAAAGCAGGCACCAGGTATGCCCTAATCCCAAGGAAGTCTTGTGTCAGCATGTCTGATTTGTGTACTCTCGGGGGATCTCTGTTGTTCTTCCACTTTACATGGTCTGTTAAATGTTACAGTCCACAAGGAAAAAGGATCCTGGCTTTCTGAATAAATTATGTGCTGATGCAGAATACTCCTTTGCCAAATATCTGTTGCCAAGTTATCAAGACTTAACTACATGGGTTGTGATACAAAATTCCATGTAAGCCCACAAATTTATCAAGCAGTGACGGCACATTGCAGCCTATAATTAAGAACCATTTTAACTTCTTTTCTCATGAATCATTGTTACGTGGACAGGTAAATGTCCAGGTGCACCCTAGCAGTCAGGCAAATCCTCCTTGTTAGCCCTGTCTTTTCTAATCTCCGTCCACATCTTTACAAGTACATACAGTACGTCACTGTACGTGTCTCCCAGGTCCCTAATTCTGTAGACTGTATGCACAACATGGAAGCCCCTTTCATGCCTTTGTGGAGCACTGTGACAGCTGGAGAGAAAGAGGCTGTTTATTTTTGTGTAAATTTTCTGTAGCTGAAACAGTCCCCTGCAAAGCCGGTCTCAAGTTTCTCATCTTCCATTTTAACAAAGATTTGTGTACAGAAAGGTAAAGCTGGGATGAGCAACTCAATTATTTCGGACTATTAAGTCTGTCAACGTGATTCCGTCCAGGTGTAGGTCTAGCATATAAGGTAAAAGCTCACAATTATTCAGTAATACAAAAAAAGGCAAGACCAATTCGTTTAATATACTATTATTGTGAATAGACAAGCATTTTGAAAACAAAATATAATGTAGTTCCAAGAAGATATACCCATATGCGAAGGCCTGTTTGGGGGGTCCCGACAACGCTCTACGCTGAATTCAGAAACCTCTCGATTATGCTTTCCAAGTGGCTACATCGCATTACATGGAATGTAACGTCGAATATGCTCTACGCAAAATGCGCCAATTACGCTCTACGTTGAATTAGAGCGGTCCATCTACGCTCTACGTAGAATTAAAATGGCCGATTATGCTCTACGGAAAAGGGCATGTGGGCCCCCATATACTAGCTAGAACTCATGAAAATTAGATTGTACACAAACACAAACTGGCATTAATAAACCTAACCTCCCTTCTGGAGGTGATTAGTAGCACTGATTACTGTCTATAGTCATTACCCTCACTCAGTCTGAGACTCTGAGACTCCTTTAAGTTTAAGGAATTCCTCCTGTTTCTGTCACCATGGGAGCTCTAACAGCTGTGGGGACTTTGTGCCCTTAAGACGTTAGAATCGCCACATTCCTCCACGCAGAAGTTCAATGTACAGCCTCGAGTGTCAACTTCAAAGGACAATGTAAATATGAGCAAGTAGATTTATTGCTCTTGAAAAAACAATACGGCAACACGGTTAAATACTTTGCTTATAGAAGAATAACCCTGTGCTAACTTGCCTGATTTAGTCAAATGCTTGCTGCGTCAGAAAGAACATTAATTTTCTGTAATTATGCTGTGTCCATGTTTCAACAAGGAACTTCTGGTAAACAGTGTTGTGACTGTTTTGTTTGGATGTCTTGTAATAGAAGTCAAATGAAATTTGAATAAAAAAAGTATTATGGGGAAGGTTTCATTTTTATTGTTGCAGCTTTCAGAATGAAGCACTAAGTTAGCTAAATTTATCATAATATGAAGCAAAAGTTTTTGGAAAACAGATTTAGACCAGGAGATGACTTGCATACTTAAGTATATTAATAAGTTTTTTTTAAACTATTTGCCCTGAAAGAAGCATAAACAAACTGCTGTTATACATGTTTCAAGTGTTTTGTATATGATCTTAATTTTTGATCCTTTGAAGCTATCTTAAAGTTATTTTAACGCCTTTTGCCCACAAAGAAGTGTTTTTACAAGTGTTTGTATCGATTTTCAATGTCTGTTTTTATGTTGTTTTTCCCCAGTGAATGTAGTGGAAGCGCTGCAGGAATTTTGGCAGATGAAGTCATCACGAGGTGCAGATTTTAAGAACGGAGCTCTTGTTGTTTACGAGTCCCAACCATCGGCCAGTCCACCCTACGTCTGCTACGTCACTCTGCCTGGGGGCAGCTGTTTTGGAAGTTTTCAGGTAAGGAGAGAGATGTAGGGTAGTTAAATATTAAAGACACAAGCAGCATACTTTAAAGATGATTGTAGACTTGTATAAAAGTATCCTTGCTCTCTCTTCAGTACAATTTGTACCTGTCTGGTACTCAAAACCATCTTACAAGTGAATTAGATTTTACAAGAATCTAAAATTAGAGATTAGATCTTACAAGAGTAGAGTAAGATCTTACAAGAGTCTAGTTATAAATCTTATAACATTAGGTTTAAAATCTTGCAATAGGAGGAGAATTAAATGTTACAACAAGAGTAGAATTATATCTTCCAAGAGTTTAGAAATATATCTTACAGTTACAAGAGTAGAACTAGATCTACAGGTAGTGGAGGATTAGAACTACAAGAGTCTAGAATTAGATTTTACAACTTACAAGAATCTTCGATTAGATTAGATCTTACAAGAATCTAGAGTCTAGATAATCTGAAGAGTCTAGAAATCTAAGAGTAGAATTAGATCTTACAAGAGTAAAACCAGGTCTTTCTGGCATAAAATGTACATCGTACAACAGTAGAATTTTATCTCGAAATCTTTGTTTTCCGCAGAAATGCCCCACCAAAGCTGAAGCCAGGAGAAGTGCAGCCAAGATTGCATTGATGAACTCAGTCTTTAACGAACATCCCTCCCGCAAAATCACGGACGAGTTTGTGGAGAAGGCCATTGGGGACGCAGCAAAGTCATTTAAGGTAAGGGTTGAAAATATGCATCATTCTAAAGCCACTGCGTGGTGGTATGTTATGCTTTTTGATTTTCTTTAATTTTTCAAGCTGCAATAGTGCTGTACAAGTACGTCTAACCCTCAGAAGACTGGAAACAACAAATCCTAACCGGATAGTGAGTGAGTGAGTGAGTGAGTGAGTGAGTGAGTGAGTGAGTGAGTGAGTGAGTGAGTGAGTGAGTGAGTGAGTGAGTGAGTGAGTGAGAGAGTGAGTGAGTGAAGGAGCGAGCGAGTAGTTTTATCAAAATAAACGAACAATAACTACCATCCCTTTTAGTCAATTTTTAGTCAAAGTTACTGTTCACAATGACATTACTTTTCACATTTGGTTTATTATAACTTCACTGAACAGATATGTTGAAGAGTTTTTCAGTAGGTATAACCTTGAGATCAATTGCAGTTTGATACTTAATTCTTACCAGTCTGAGTGTCAGACTTTTAGAACAGTATAGCAAGATAGCGTGCTATGCGTCGATGAAGGTTAGACATCCAGGTAATACGATACGCCAAAAAGCAGTTACTCAAGCAACTGGATATGATTTTGAAAACGTCAGACGTTTCAGCTAGTATCCACTAGCTTTTGTCAGTGACTGAGAGACCAGAGGGGAAAACAGGTTTATAAGCACAACCTATTGTTTATAGCGTGCTATGGTTAACTTGGGCATTACTGGCTACAAACTGTTGCTTGCAGGTAATTTGCATAAAAGAAATCTGGTTTGGTCTCTTTGCACGATTCACTTAATCTGCCATGAAGGTCACCTAGAAATCTTTTGTGTGAAAGCTTTCTGCTTCAAAGCATGTTTACCGTTCAGACGTATACATTGAGACTTAGGAAAATGTCAAGTGTAAAATTTGTGCAGTGCTTGAATGCATCTGTTATCTGGCTAACATATGTCTAGACACACTTCGGCATTCTCTTATAAGATCCAATAGTTTATAATAATAGTATTAATACCATTATTATCACAGGAAGGGTCATACATAATATGATCAATATTGTTCTACATTATTACATGACTTGATTTTTTAATTTGCTACTTGTGAGAGATAGATTATACTGTATCATTTGTCCTTATTATGTTTTCAGCTTATGTTAATTTCTGTGTACATCTCACAATCTACATGTACATTATATACATAATTTTTCCCACTCTATTATGCACAATTTTTCCATATGATTTTACGCTTTATATTATGTTTTTGTTGACAGGGCCTCCTTAGAAATCATCTCATGAACCTTTAGGAGCGACAAAAATGTACCAAGATGTCTCTAAGATGAAATATATAAATAAATTTCTAGAAGTTGTACATGTAATGACTGATGTGTTCGTGTGTGTTGTAACAGGGAGCTCCAGGTGAGATTGACAATCCCAACACTGGCATCGGTGCCTTCAGGTTCATGCTAGAGTCCAACAAGAGCAAGAGCATGCTGGAGTTTCAGGTAAGGATATTCCAATAAGTTCTTATGGTATCATTTGGGACAGATAGGTGCAAATTACAGGCCTCGAAATTAACCTTTCTTCCCATTGTCCCAGCACTGTCCTAAGAATAAATTTCAATTGTCCTGAAGTGAGGATGAACTGTCACAACCTGTTTTGGGGAAGTATTGTATGACTTCATCTTGAAGTCAACTTTGCTTATGTTCACTCCTAGGCCCACTATAATTGCAGAGTAGACAGGAAATTTGGGGGGGGGACTTTTCCTGATCCAAAAGCCGGGACGTGTGTCTGATAAACAAAAGAAGGGCTGACATTCTGATGTCCCAAAGTGTCTTTTTAGTTGTCCCAGCCTAAAGTTAGTGGCCATTGGACCACCTTTAATTTTGAGCCCTGAGTTAGCCTTTTTTTTCCTGTTATTGTATTGTGATAACATAATCACTAGTTTTTAACGTTTTTAATATGTGTGTTAAAAAAATGATGGTGACTTATTACATTTCGTAAGTTTTTAAAATGCTTTAATGAAATAAAAAGTGGCCAGCAGGTTGATTTGAGTAACTATAATTTGTGAACTTTAAGTGCTGTGAAAATGTGCTTCAATAAGAAACCCGTCAACCTACCTTGTATGATGAAGTTGTATCTGTATTTACCTGAAGATATTTAGACTTGCTCCTCCCAACCATGGTGTTAATGCCCCATGTTGTGCTGTATGACAGGAGTTGATGACAGTTTTCCAACTTCTCCACTGGAACGGGAGTCTGAAGGCCATGAGAGAGAGGTCATGCACACGGCAGGTCAGGAAAAAATCCGTTTACGTCTCATATGTACTGAAAAAAAACAACAACACTTAATTCAAGTTTTGGAGCAAGCATCTGCAAAGAAATGTATGTTTTTTTCCATACATGTTTTTCCTTAAATACCCAGTAGTTGTTCATTTACTTCTTGGTGTGGAAGTATTGTTTTGGGTGGCTGAGATGTGGGCTTGTATGTGTATCTATCTGTCCAGACAGAGAAGGTTGATAGCACATGGGTGGATGGAAAAATAATGACTAATGACAGGCAAAAGATAGCCTTCTGTGTAAATGGAAGTCATAGAATCTGGTTGGGAGTCAGAAATTGACATGCGGAATTTAGGAAGCTAGTGATTGCTGTCTTATTGTATAAAGTCTCTGATTTCCTGTATTAAATGTGAAAGACACTAACTGCAGTTCATCCCACGACCAACAGGAGGTGCTTGCGCACTACTCCAACCGCACGCTGGACGATGACATGAGAAGCCAGATGGCGCTGGACTGGATTTCCCGCGAGCAGGAGACTCCCAGCGTCATCTCGCGGGAACTCGCCATGGCCGAGCAGGAACTGGAAAGCTGCCGCGCGGCCGGGAGGGAGCTACGCTTCCCGAAAGAGAAAAAAGATATCCTCATGCTGGCCTGTAGTCAGCTTGAACCCATGACTGCTTCTATGTGTTAGGCTGAAGAAAGCTTTCTCACTCTTTTGTACTTCTCTAAAGTATTTTTCCCTCTCCAACATCTTTCTACAACATTGTCAACATCTGGAGTAAGAACAAAGATACAAAACACTTTGGAGACGAAAGATATGGCCTGCAGTCAACTGGAACCCATGACTGCTTCTATGTGTTAGCTTAAAAACAGCTTTCTCACTCTTTTTGTACTTCTCTAGAGTATTTTTCCCACTCCTATATCTTTTTACAACATTGTCAGCATCTGGAGTAAGAGCAAAGATACAAAACACATGGTGTGTTTTTGTTTTTTTAAGTGATCTCTCCATCACAAATTCAAGCACAACAAAATTGTTTCAACTGCAAGTTTGAAACGGTGCAAAAACTTCCCTCCAATCACTAAATAAGCCACCATAATGTTTGTACATCCACTCACTCATTGTAACAAAACATGATTGAACATTTGGATCCAACACAAGAAAATGTTTTAGTACCTAGGTATGGATGACAGCTTGTCAACTTGTACTCTCTTGTGTTGGATTTGAAAGTTCAAACTTCATTCAATAAATGAACTATCTTTGTACAATTGTAGAGAAGAGTTTAAAAAAAGAAGAGTTTAAAAAAGAAGAGTTTAAAAAAGGAAAAGGGCTCAGAAGAAGAAAGGTATCATCTTCTTGAATAGGTGACAACATTTATATGAAAAAAAGATATTTTTCATATTATTCCTGTCAATGACTTCAAATTGTCTGCAGGCACAAGCAAACATATCTAGAGGATGATTGTATTTTGTACATTCTATTGCGCTCTTTGCATTTGAAAACAAGAAAGAAGGATAGTTAACTTCTATTCTACCTTTTTGGCTGTCTCTTTGCTTATTATGTATGTACAATAATACATGTATGCTTTGATACTAGTTGTTACAATGCACAATTTATTTCTGTCTCTTTCTTGTGATGTTTCTTTAACTCATAAGCACTTAACGAAACATTTACTTGGTCTTGGTTATGGTCATATGTTAATACTCAGCTATAAGAATGTACATTTTGCGCTGCCTTGCTTTGTAATCTTTCTGCTGATCACTGTTTTCTGATGTATATATCACTACTCAAATATCTATTCTTTCACGACTTTATAAGCACTTGTATAAAGATAAGACTTCTACTAAATAGATTAATACTATGGACAATGTAACAAATGTTTTTAGGAGATGATGCTTTCCAAAAAAAAGTAGCAAATAAGAAATCGCAAGTACATGCACACATATCAATACCAGTAACAGCAAAAATGCATACATAGGAGTCCAAATATTTTTGCTTTTCTAGATGAATGACTGAACAGGTATTATATGTATAGGAATCATAGTTTAATGTGACCTGTATTTTGTTGTGTGAGCTATTGGATGTTTTGTACACTATTTTTGCAAGAAAGACATGCAAGCTTTTGGCTTTGTAAGATTTTCTGACACTGGAAGGTAGCAGTTTACTGAAATCATCAAATGCAGAACAAAAGAACGAGAAATTTTGAATATTGTATTTTGGTAGTTACAATGTTACATAGATGAAGTACCTTTGGGGCTATTTTGTTTTGAAATACTATAGCTTGGTGCTTTTATTTCCTACCCTTAATGTCTTTATTTTCAATTTCAAAGAATCCTGAAATCTATGTAAGAAAAGTAAGAGAATATAAGAGCTTTAAAAAGAGAGCAATGAGGAAATCATGGCTATATGCTATAGGGGAGGGAAGGGGGCAAATTATGTGAAAACATTTTAAAACATTCCTACATGTATATCCTTTGTTGCTTTTAATTTTAATTTTGGCACTGATAGAAGAAAGATCATTTTGGGTCTAGTTATTTTTCATATACATGAGTGACTTTGAGGCCAGCGTTTTATAGTTTCAAAGATCCCCTGTAGATGTAATATGTTTTGACTGTGAAGGTGTAAACCCTTCCTTCTGTGTTGATGTAAATAAAGCGGCTTTTTAGAAATGATATTGCAAGATGTCTTGCTTTCTTGTCGCTTTCTTGTCTCTCGAAGTATGAGCTGAACTTTTTTGTCTTGTGTAAGGATTGTAATTTGAATTTAGAATCGTTGTTCCCGCCTCTATTGCAAAAATACACGCAGAATTGAGCGTTGTCGCTCTCATTCCTCTAATAAAATACTTGCACTACTGATCTTAGGGTGTATAATGATGTTTTTCAATCACGGTTCAAAAGAGACTTCTAGCAGTTCGTGAAATTATTGCAGTTACATCCGGGCATTTTGAGACCCTGATGACATCATCAGCCTGCGCAGACATGACGTCAGAACCTGCGCAGATCAGGGGGCGTAGAACCGCCATCTTGTCAGCTCTGTTTACTTCCGTTATCCCAACCGTCGGCATCTGTCCGATTTCCTCGCCATCCTAAGAATCTCCGTCATTTCTTGGAGCCAGGAGTAAAGAAAAAGGCACAATCTTATTCCAGCCGCCGAAGTTTTGGTCGGTGTCGCGTAAAGAACTGTGAACGAGGAGTTTTTTTCAGGGCGGAAGTGAGTGAGATCGCCGGTCGGCAGCTTGTTTCATCATGGGAACGAAGGACGACGAGTACGATTACCTGTTCAAAGGTGGGTGTTCAATTAGACTAGCTCTCCCGGTGGGAGTTGTATCTTTTACGGCGGTAGCGATCCTTTTTATAACCGTTGAAATCGGAAATACGTCCTGAGAACCACAAGACAGAACCCTACAGCGTTACTGTCCAACGATCGTTGGGCGTGTTGGCTAGTATCTAAGTATTTGCAAATAACCTGGCATCAATGTTTACCTTGATATTTATCAACCTGGAGTTTGATTTAAATGGCGATCCTCTTCCTACGTCGTTTTTCTGCTTCATTTCCTTTGGGAAATAAGAAAATTCTTGTAGTCCACGGTCGAATAACATCGGTATGCTAACATGTCGTGACAGAAGGTTTTGTTATGATTGCGTACTTCACCAAATCTCGGGAAATAGGCCCAAAATTTTCCGCAAATATTCCTTAAAACATCCTACGACTTAACAGTCAGCCGAATTACACTTTGTTTTCCCTTCTAAATGAAGAATTTAGCGACAAACGATACGTGAAATGCAGTAAAACAGCCGTGAACACAGTGCTGCGTTTGTTGGCTGTAAAATTTTGACCGTTATTTGACAGTTAGTCCCAGGGGAAAAGTAGCAGCTTATCCGGAGAATATGCATACATAACAAATCACTTACAGTCACACAACCCTGAATAAAACCCCTCTTTCATGCAAAAACCTCACAAAGAACTGTAAATTTTTGCATCTACACACTAAAGTACTGCGTCAGATAAAACGAATTGATTAGTTTTCAATTACTAAAAGCCCCCCCTTCCCCACTATAGAAGACTAATAGCTTTTGCTTGTAAAAGCTAATAGGTAGTATTGGACTTGCAGCAGCCGCGTTCGCCTTTCTCCGCAGCCACAAAAATTGGCGACAAAACTGTCGCCAAAATCAATGCAGTTGTCGCCGAATTTTATTGCTGTAGTTGCCTCAAGTGATCGGAGATAACAAGTGGTCAAAGGTCAAGAGTTTTGCCTTTTAGTTTACCTCATGGCAGCTTTTTAGGGTCTTAGTCACTACTCCGAAATTCCTACCCACACAAAATAACTATGCCATGATTGTATACAATGAATCGTAGGTCTGACTCTAGTGTTAGTAATCAAACTAAGGGTTTATTTTCTAGTTAAAAGATTTTTGGGGGCGTGTTACTTACTATACAGTGTCCACTGACTGGTAAATATTTAATTTGTTACGCTAATAACTAAAGGCCACCTGCTGAATTGACCAACCAGCAGAAAATTCCACCAGAATTTGTTCCCTAGCACGTAACATTCCCAATTCCTAATACAGTGTCCACTGACAGGCAAATATTTAATTTGTTACGCTAATAACAACTGTTTAACTTTAAAGGCCACCTGCTGAATTGACCAACCTGCAGAAAATTCCACCAGAATTTGTTCCTGAGCACGTGAACATTCCTACACATGTAGGCTTCCCTGTACACTAATATAAAGTGCTACATTCACTAACTAGAAACTTCCCCTGAAGGAAATACCAGACAATCCTTAAATTTTTTTAGAAACTCTTGTTTAAGTGTTGACAGGGAGACTTAGAGCCATGTATTTCTACGTCCTTCAAACAATTTGTAATATATAGTATGCAACAATGGCAGTCATAGCCCAATGAATGAAAATCTGCAAGTAGAAATTTGACCAAAGGAGAAGAGATACTTTAAAACATTTCTTCTCTTCCTTGTTCGAGTGTTTATCTTCTGGCTATGGGGAAGACCCAGGAGAAAAGTTGCAGAACAGGAAGTGAATTTTTGGAGTCTGAAGTCATAACTCAGCTCTAGTGCTTTGATCTGAGTGATTTGAGATGTCTGTAGTGAGACAAAAACAGGAAGACGTTTGAAAACATCCTGTCAAGTTGGCAGTTTTCTGTGCAGTGTCAATGTCTTCCTTCCCTGCTTTTCAGTTTCTTATGTTCCAAAATTCTTGAAAGAGATTTTTCGCATCTCGGAACAACAAGAACAGTTAATTGAAAGCCAGTGAAAATTAATTCAAAGATTCTGAAAATATTGATACACACTCAAGAACTTACTAAGAAGTTTGCTGCAAAAAATTTTGCATTGCAATAAATGGTGAGAAAACAAAATGAAATATGAATTCATTTTATGATTTATTAAATGTTACACACATCTAAACAGCCACTACAAATCTCTCTTTATTTCTTTTTTTCGATACCCTTTAGCCAAAAGGCTAATCTTCCAGGGTTCATTCAAAGAAAACTACAAATCATCAGGAAATTGATGCCCCAATTTCTGACCACAAATTTTTAGGCTAATGGCCAATAAAGACAAGAGTAAAAACCACTAAAGAGGAATGGAACTCATCAGAATCAACCCCCGCAAATCACATGTTTGCATCCTGATACATTTTTATAGGTCACAATTAACCTTCTGCTTGCTATGGTAGCCTTTTTGCCCCAAAGTTGTATCTGTTCTGGGGTAAGGTAGCAGTGGGAGGGTTAATAGAAGCTTACGCATCTCCCTTTTGGTGGAAAATTAGAAACAGTCGTTGCTACAGGCTAATGCTAGCCCTCTAGACGACAATGGCTATTTGACTGCGTAATGGTAGTGGTTTTCACTGCAATCAAGCACACTCAGCCACACCTGCAATGATACATATCAGGCGAAATGTAGGTACAGATACACAAAGTGCTCGCAAATGCAATAAATTAGGCGTCGTTTGGACGCGGCATAATGTCGTTTTAGAAATTTGGTAGTGGTTTTTACTGCAATCAAGCACACTCAGCCACACCTACAATGGTACCTAGTAGCGGGTCGAAATGTGTACATACAGATACACGACGTAATGCTAGCAAATGCGATAAATTAGGTGTCGTTTGGACGCGGCGTAATGTCGTTTTAGAAATTTGGTAGTGGTTTTCACTGCAATCAAGCATACTCAGCCATACCTACAATGATACCTAGTATCGGGTCGAAATGTGTACATACAGATACACGACGTAATGCTAGCAAATGCGATAAATTAGGTGTCGTTTGGACGCGTTGTAATGTCGTTTTAGAAATTTGGTAGTGGTTTTCACTGCAATCAAGCATACTCAGCCATACCTACAATGATACCTAGTATCAGGTCGAAATGTGTACATACAGTAACACGTAGTGCTCGCAAATGCAATAAATTAGGCGTCGTTTGGACGCGGCGTAATGTCGTTTTAGAAATCAGGTCACGTTTTGTAATCTAACTGTGGGATAAAGCGGGATTACTCCCTTCTACTTCAATTATACAGAACACACTCCAACAAGTGTGCAGGACTCTGCTGTAGTTATTAGTCAGATGAAATTCTGTATGATAACGTTGTTAATTTGGATTACCATAGTCTTCCAGACTGAAGTATTGGCGTGTACCCTTGATAAGAGGGTGCTTGAATATCAACTAAATTATGTCTACTGACTTACTTTGGAAAAAGACACAACAAGTTGAATTTAGAGTTGGCATTATTTACACTACAGTAATCACATGTTGATATTTTTCTTCATTATTAAAATGGATTGGTTGAAGAGAAAAGTTTTGAAAAGTAAACTAGATAGATAGGATGGTAGGTAACACAGGATAAATTTTTCAGTATTGCATCAAAGCTTCTATTGTCTCAATTGTTTGTGTAATGTATAAATGCCTATCACAATCTGCTACTATCTTCTGTAGCCTTTTTATTATTTTTTAACAGAACTGATGGATTATCCATGGATAATTAATTTAAGAGTATGGAAGATTGTGCATGTGGCACCAAGGGATTGGTTCATAAATTATAAAAATGTCGCTCTTGGGAATTCCATTGTTACAACAAAGAAATGATTTTATGTGCTAGAAAAATTTCTACAAACATTTCGAATAGAGTCAGTGTAACTTTGTGAAGTCAGCAGTTTTAAATAGTGAAATGATGCCATTCTTGCATGTTGTAACGTGCCAAGTCAAAATGAGTGAGGTGGTCCTATGAGTCATACTAACTGTTGTTGTGTAACACCCGTACAGAAAATAACTCATTGTAACAGACACTGGTATTATTCAGGGCTTGAAATTAAAGGTGGTCCAATGGCCACTGATCACTAAAATTTAGGCTGGGACAACTAAAAAGACACGGACATTTTTGGGACAATAGAAAAAAATCAACATCAGAATGTCAGCCCTTCTTTTGTTTATCAGGCACATGTCCTGGCTTTTGGCTCCGAAAAAGTCACCCTGAAATTCCTGTCTACTCTGCAATTATAGTGCGCCTGGGAGTCAGAATGTATACAACTTATAAGCAAAATAAAGTTGACTTTGATCAGTTGAAGTCATACAATACTTCCCGAAAAACAGGTTGGGACAGTTCATCCTAACTTCGGGACGATTGAAATTTATTTTTGGGACAGTGCTGGGACAATAAGAAGAAAAGTTAATTTAGAGGCCTGAAAATGACGCCATTCTTGCATGTTGGAACCTGCCAAGTCAAAGTAAGTGAGGTGGAGCTATGAGTCATACTGTTGTTACATGTAACACCTACACAGGAAGTAACTCATTGTAACAGGTACTGTTATTCATTACACCTTTTGTGTAACAAACCAGTTGTTAGGAGTGGGTACTTATGATGTAAGGTTTACGTCATTTATTATGTCCACAGTCAGGACAGGTGTGTTGACACATTTGATAGAAACTTGGCTTCAGCCACCATTACTGCATTGTAATGTGATTGTTATTGGTTGATGGTGTGACATTATTTTCCTTGTGTGTTTTTCGGATATTTCTCTGGCTAGTAAATGGTTTGAAAAATGGGTATTTTGTTGTTTGTTACGCTCATTCTGATTGGTGCTAAAACATCAATTTTACAGTTCTCTGATTGGTGGTGAAACATGGAGCATTGTTTCTTACACTTGCTCTGATTGGTGCCAAAAATGTCTTTTTTTTGGTATAATTGTTCTGATTGGTGCTAAAAGATTGAATTCTGTTTTTGCTACAGTTGTTCTGATTGGTACAAAAAGATTAAATTCTTTTTTTGTTGTTGTTATATTTGATCTGATTGGTACTATAGTGAAGAATTGAGTTGTGACAGTTGTTCTGATTGGTGCTAAAGCAAAAATTCTGTTTTGTTACAGTGGTTCTGATTGGTGCTAAAGCAAAGAATTGTTTCTGTGAAAGTTGTTCTGATTGGTGCTAAAAATTGTTTTTTTTTGTTACAGTTGTTCTGATTGGTGACTCTGGAGTGGGGAAGAGTAACCTGCTGTCACGTTTCACGCGGAATGAGTTTAACCTGGAGAGTAAGAGCACGATAGGCGTGGAGTTCGCCACACGGAGCATCCAGGTCGACGGGAAAACCATCAAGGCACAGATCTGGGACACGGCCGGACAGGAGCGATACCGAGCCATCACCAGCGCGTACGTTTGTTTGTTTGTTTGTTTAGGATCTCCATTAGTGTGAATTTCACACTACTCTTCCTTGAGTCCGTAGTGGATAATCAGGCAAGTGTTTGTACCATCGCACACCGGGGCATGCCCCTACTCTTTTTTGAAAGATGTGGTGGGTTCTTTAACGTGCGTGGGATTTGGCTCTCCCCAAACAAGGGACCTCCATTTAATGTCCTATCCGAGGGACATCTCTAGCTCATTTGCACTTGAGTAAAGTGAGGAAAGTCGGCCTTTCCCAGGGGCACAAGATCGGTGACTAGGTGGGGTTGGAACCCGGGACACATATCCGAAAACTTGTATTTTCCAAAAACTATCGTAGAGTGCAACTCTTTGCCACCAAGTACAGTTGGGGCATCATCACTAGAAAGCTTTAAACAACTCTATGAAGAGGTAGTCACCTTGGCAGGTTTGACTGACAATTTTTACAAATTTTTCTTCCTACAGTTACTACAGAGGGGCAGTGGGCGCCCTGCTAGTATACGACATCGCCAAACACCTTACGTACGAGAACGTGGAGCGCTGGTTGAAGGAGCTACGAGACCATGCCGACAACAACATCGTCATCATGCTCGTCGGGAACAAGAGCGACTTGCGACATCTACGGGCCGTGCCCACGGACGAAGCCAAGGCATTCGCAGGTTCGCTAGTTTTTGATTCGCAAAACTGTACAACATAACCTCTCTGGTCTAGAACTGCAAATTACCTTTATTATGTTTTTGCTCTGTTTCTTCTTCCATTCCTAATACTGGCCTGGTCAATGACCTGAACCATATTGTCTGTCACCATGGTAACTGGTGTTGGGTTATATCATGTTGCAATTTTATAGTAGGAGGGATTTAGACTCCTGTCTGACCATATATTTGAATGTATTTGAGTAAGAATTAACAGCAGACCATATGCAAAGGTAACATTATGCATTTGCTTTGCAAATGTTACCTTTCTAGTATATAGGCTGTTTCAGGTTTTCATAATTGTTTCAGGTCCAGGTTGGACCTGAACCTGGACCTAATTATTTTACAGTAGTACTATATCATATTTTGGAGCGCAAAACACAAGTACAGGTCACTCACTAGTGTGTATATCATAACTGTAGCACTGGGTACCTATCCCATGGCCCACAAACTTTTTGTTAGCCTAATTAAAGCTGAACACAGTTCCAGAAAGAGACAAACATGGATTTAGGCCAATCTAGTTTGATACAGGGTTATTTTCTTTACCTGCCATGACCAGGTTATCTAAAGATATGTGTACAATCTACAGAAATGTACATCAGGTCCGATGATCTGGTTTTTGTGTTTCTTGTTGTGTTTTTTGACTGGGATTCCCAAATGTTGTTCCAGTTTAAACTGGTCCTACTGAAGTGTGTGAAGTTACTGGATTTTGATGATGAATAATTTTTTTTCTCTTCCAGAGAAGAATAGTCTATCCTTCATCGAGACTTCAGCTTTAGACTCAACCAATGTGGAGACCGCTTTCCAGAACATTCTGACAGGTGAGACACATTTCTAAAAAAAAGATTTTAAAACATCTTCCTGCATTTTTTCACCTGATAACTTGTCCAGTCTTATAAAATCAAGATAAAAACAACTTAAGGCTGAAACAGAAGTCACAACCTAATACAGAAGTAACAGGTAAAAACGAGTAAAGGTTTTTGGTAGCTGAGCTCTAAAACAATATCAGTAAACCTGCAGTTCCTGTAAGAGTTGCTAGGTGGCGTGCTTGCGCTGCAGCAAGAAAAGTTCAGGACAATCTAGGTTCAGTTGGGGGGCTAGACGGGGTCTGGGTGTTGTTTTGTGGTGTGTTTTCTGTCCTTTTTCTACTGGTGTTGTGTTCCCAGTAATTCAGCCCTCTCCTTCCATTAACACCAATGGCAAGAAAATTGCCTTCCACCTTCCTACTACAACGTATTCTCTCCCCAAAAAGCACAAAACGCCCCCCATAAAATTCTCCTAGTCGCACTCATTGTAAAGCTTCGGTTGTTTCGCTTTTAGAAAGTGTGATGTTTTCTTCTTAGAGCGTAAAAACCGCCATCTTTTCTTTGGTTGTTCACCCCCTTTTTTCCCCACGCTTTTAGAAAGAGTGAAGTTTACGTAGAGCGTTAAAAAACGCCATCTTTTCTTCCGTTGTTCACCCCCTTTTTTCCCCATGCTTTTAGAAAGAGTGAAGTTTACGTAGAGCGTAAAAAACGCCATCTTTTCTTCCGTTGTCCCCCCCACATTTCTCTTCTGTCCTACGTTTGGTTTTTGGCTTCCTTTTTTTCCGGGTGGCGACTACTAGAAGGGCTTTCTTTTTTCTTTTGTTTCCCTCACTAGAGTCGTACGAGAAGGTGAAAGGCAAAGACATTTACACGCACCCTCAAGTCCCAATCACCACGGCAACCCGCCTGGACCCCACCCTAGCCCCCCGGCCAGACAAGAACTGTTGTTGAGGATTTGTTCCTTAGATTTAGACCACACCAATTTAATTTGTCGGTTCTTGGATTTTTTCAGAAAAAAAAATGAAGCGACAGAGCAAAAGAAAAAAAATAAAAACAGGTCTAGGCATCCTATTATAGCCCCAAATGCTTCGATAGGAGCCATGAAGTCAACACAAAAGGCTAGGTTAAAATTTAAACAATGAATTTTGAAGTTTTAATCAAACCACTGCATTGATAGATGGAAAAACTGTAACAACTAGGAAGAAAAGGACTTTCCTCAACTGTTGGGGGCAAAACATGAGCATTTTTGAGTTGATTCAGAACCAGGGTCTTTAATTTTTTTTAATTAGAAAAAAATGAAGCGGCGAATCCAAGAACCAACAAATTAAATTTGTGTGGTATTAGAATAGATTTACTCTAAAGAGTACCTAGGCAGAACGTACTGCGCCTGCGCGAAACCCTAGTTGGATGTTTGGTTAACGTTGCATCAGAATTTTGCCTATTGCAGACAATGTCTCTTCTCCAACACAACATTTGGAAACTACAGGCGGAAGGTTAACCTTATATGCGTGAATATGACTTTATATTAGACATTCTGCTGAAGTGCTATGCACAATACATGACAGGTTTTGCTCAGGTGCAGTACGTTCTGCCGACGTGCTACTCAAAAGACATATTGGATCTTAGTCATTCGTTGACGGGTATGGATAGAGCTAAAAGTTGAAAAGATTGAAAAGAATTTATCTGAAAAATAATGCTTGGTGTAGATGTCAGAACAACATAGTCCAGTCAAAAGTATTATATATTTCCATATATATGTGTATTTCAAATCAAGGGCCACCATCTATATTATTACCATTGTTTTATTCTTTGATTCAATAAATGGAAAAATAATCATTTGACAACAATCACAGTATGTACTCCCAAATAATTGTTGAGAAATCTGACAAGAAAATAAATTGCACCATGACAAATTTAATGGAAGAAAATTATCAGTATTGCCAAAATCTTAAAGCTATGTACATGTATAACAAAGTGTACAAGAAAACTACTTGACACACATATATATTTGAACTACATAGCCCAGACAAAAGTATTATATTATATATTTCCATATATATTCAGAAAATACATATCATACTTTTGTATACTTTTGCAAACAGCAATAGCAACATTGAATATAAGTTTTTAAACTGCTGTATTTTCTAGAAAACTTTATATTTCTCGGTGACATTTCACTTATATATTGTAAAATCATTTGCTATTCATAGACAATGAAATGGACAAGATGTTTTACCAAAGATTTTACATAAACAGAAATATTGTATAGCTGATCCAAGTCAAATGATTATGTCCATTTGAAAATAAAATTTATATGAAAAGGTGTTACAAGTAGGGCTAGCAGTGAAATCTTGTTATGAAAATAGAAGGGTGATTCGCCATTGCTGCTATGGCCACAGCAAGTAAATTTTATGGATGACATCAGCACTCGCGCGATTTTGGAAAAAAAAAAAGAAATTTTGTTGCCTTCTGACAGTGGCCAACATGCCGAAAATGGGCAAAGATGTCTGTGGATGGCAGATAACTGTGAAGCGAGGAGACAAGACAAGGCTCTGATTTAATCTTTTGTTTCTTACTTTGATGCAGTGATATGTGATGCTGGCTGTGTATATGTGATGTTCCTACTGAATCAAAACCATTTGTACAATGATTGAGTCAAAATTTTTAAAATGCAGGAACCTTGTTTTTTTTCGGCCCGTCCTTGTTTTTTTTTTTTGCCCGCTCGCATTAGATTTGGAGTCTGCGGAGGATGTCATCCATAAAATTTACTTGCTATAGCCTAATGTGCCATAGCAAATTTGTAATGATATGCACAAGACAAGACAATAACATAATCTATGTAATTTTTTAAGTTACAGAGACAATGATACTATTGTAAATATATTTTAGTGCCATGGCTCTTAATTGTAACAAAAAGGAAGATAGCGCATTCCAAAATAATTGTCTATGTAGTATCTGGTAGAGACATCCTATATTTTTACATGCATATTCTAGACTTATTTTTCTGCACAGAATATATGAAAAGTATGAGAAGAAAGAACAAGGTGTTGTGTCAGTTTTTGTTGGGCTTTTAAGTTCATATCAGTTAAAACTTTCATTTATAAGATAATTGATGTGTGAAAGATGATTGAAGATTAATGCAAGAAGTAGAATAATGTAGCAGAAATGTCCCAGTATGTATAAGGAAGTATATTATTACATTTACATGTGTAGCTCACTGTACATATGCAGGGCTCGAAATACTGGGTGCATGTGCACCTTAGTGCATCGATGCACCCAAATGTTTTCTTAGGTTTTCGTATGTAAACTAAGATGTTAAACATATTAGAATACAGCGACATATTCTTAACATCCAATTCCAAGTGTCAGAAAAATAATAAAGTTATTGTTGTAATACTTTTCTTTAGAAATGAATGTACATATTTTGCTGACATTCTACTTACTAAGTACTTTTATATGGTGAACCCAAAATATTTTTTGTGCACCCTATTTTTAGTTGGGTGCACCAGTGCACGTACCTATTCCCAAAAAGGAATTTCGATGTAAAATTTCAGAAAATGTTTTCCTCAAGCCAGAAAGATGTCTGTTTCAAGTTCTGGTACATTAACCTGTAAAATTGTTCTCGAAATTGTATCAACAAAGAAAATATGTTTTCTTCTTATCTCCCGCAGAAATCTACCACATCGTCTCACAAAAGCAAATTCGCGACAGCCCCGGGGACGATGAATCGCCGAGCACGAACGTGCAGACCATCACCGTCGCTCCAACCACGGACGCAGACACCAAGAAAAAACTGGCCTGTTGCCAGCAGTAAACTCACTGCAAGAAACATCCAGACTTCTTCTTAAACAGCATCTCAGCGTGCTGTCTTCTCTCTGTCTTCTTATCTTTTACCGTTAGGACAAGTTCAGCCGGTCCTTGTGCAACTTTCCATCTTCAACACTTGTATTTATAGTTATACACCGGTAAAATAACAGTCTAACCAATCAGCATCAAGAAAAAGTGTTATACACCGGTAAAAATAACAGTCTAACCAATCAGCCTCAAGGAAAAGTGTTATACACCGGTAAAATAACAGTCTAACCAACCAGCATCAAGAAAAAGTGTTTTACACTGGTAAAGTAACAGTCTAACCAATCAGCATCAAGCAAAAGTGTTATACACCAGTAAAACAACAGTCTAGCCAATCAGCATCAAGAAAAAGTGATAATCACCACCTGGTTGATATTATTTCTTGAATATACACCTGCATGGTCTGGATGAAAGATCTTCTGAACTTAAAACTTGTGTTGGAAGAAGAATTCTTGTAGAAACACTGGTAGTAAGAATTCACAATGGCAGCTTTCGGTTTGGTGGTCTGAATGTCTAGTACCCAAATGTGGGACTAAATTCAGTTTACTTGCATAACTGTACATAGCACTCTGCACTTCAAACGTACCTAGCAATGTTCTTTTCTTCAAAACTGTTGAGAATGGAATTTTGCACTCGGACTCCTATATAAGAAATACCTTGCCATTTGCTTGTAGTCTGCAAACCTAAGAGAAGCATGTAGTGTAATCGCTTAAGAAACAAATGTACAAAAAAAATAAACAAACTAGGGCCACGCCTAGTCAGAAATCTTTGCATGTTTCAGTGGACGTATGGAGGTAGAAAAAGGGTTTACGTTGAGAAGTGCAATATGTGTTTGCGAGGGTTACGTTCAGAAAAGTTGACACGCATGGCAAGGATGAAAAATCACAGTGGAAAACTTAAGCTTTCAAATCTGCGGTCCAAGTTTGTATTCTTTTAATAGGCAAGGTGTGGGTTTATATGCCCGAAAGTTCTACAGACTTTGTTGAAAGAAAAAAAGGCTATGAAAAATATAGGCGTGGTCTAGTGAATTCCGAATCTGTAGTAGTGTTAGAATATTTAGAAAAGTACTTCAAAATAAGCTTTGCTCTTCTTCACTTCTTGTAGCATTTTTACACTTACTTACATGTCTTACCAAGCAAAACGTCCGTTCAGTTCAAAACTTCTGGATAATTTCTCAATTTGATAAGTGAAGATTTAGTTCCTTAGTTAGGCTAAGTAAGAAATTTAATCCTGTCTGCATAAATTATTGTCCAATTCTCTGTTCGTTTTTGTAAAAAAAAAGAGTTAAGATTTTGTTTCTGGCTGTATACTATCCAAGCCAAGACCTGTACAAATCCATTCTGTATCATTCATGTATGTTGAATATCATTTCCCAATCACTAACTAATGCATTAATATACTGATGTATGGTATTATACACTTGTCTGTGATTCTGTGCGTGTCTGGCTTTGTCTTTTGGAAGGTTGCCCCCTACTGAAATAATGTAGAACTGCAGATGTAACAAGGGGGACAAATCCAGTGGTAATGTATTACATGTAATGAATTCTAGCATTGTTCATCAAAAGTTTAATCTGCAGTTGAGTCAATCCTAATCTGCATGGTTTAAGTACAGTTAAGTCAATGCAAATCCTGAGATTAGTGACTTTATAGCTAGATTATACAAGATTAAGTTGCTGGATAAAATCTGTAATTATCTATGTTTAAGTTTCAACCTACAATGATGTTAAACATGTAAGGGAGTAATGACTTTGGACGAGTGAATCTGAATGAATTCCCTGGAAGTAAGAGGGGGGGGCGATTCCAAAAGAGAAAGAAAATGTGTATTATAACTGTATTTACTCACTCATGCTGTGTTCTATTCAGACAGAAGTCAACAGTGAAAACTTCGTGCAGAATCTGAACAAGCGAAGTCAACCTTTTCGCAAAAGTTCCTGAATGTTATAAAAAGATCTCTCAGCTCCATCAAATTGTCAGCCTGCAGTTCTCAACGATTGCACTAGAGGGGGCCGTTGAGTGGACACAGTCTGAATTGAATGCAGCATTTAAAACCAAGTCTTGTCTGTGGCTTGATGTGTCTCCTACCTTCCTGTGCACCTCATAAATAGCATTATAAAGATAAGACATCAATTACACATGTACTCAATAAATATAACATCGTGAGAACAGTACTGTGTCTGTGTTTCTTGAATCTGACTCTAGCAATAGCTTAAAATTTCTGATTTTTTCATGGTACGTGTACTTACATGTTCACTGTTTTCACTGTCGCTTCTGTACTGTGAAGTTATCATTACAGTTAACAAAGTTAATAATTCCTGGACTCTCTTTTTCCTGCACCTGTTGCCACCGTGAATATATAATTTCATGAACATGTCCACTTTTCTCAGACCGTGAAATTTTGCTTCCATAAACATAAAGTGAATTACAGTATCTCCAAGTAAATGTTGGGAGGGAAATTTGTACCAGACAGACAGAAACGGGTAGATAGGAAAACACTATGGTTAAGCCTCCCAACATATGCTTGGAGATAAGATACAACCAAAGTAAACATGGCGGCGATAGAACATAACACTACGCTGTTACTCGGCGGAAGAAAGCTTTCCTTGAGCAGAGGAGCGAACTTCAATGTTATAATTCCACAAGATAGCGGTAATGAGGAAACGTCAGACATTCATTCTGTCAATAAAAGTGTGAAACGAGTGGCGTTACGGTTATAAGGCCGAGTCAGTATACTTTTCAGTATTATCGTCGGGTTGCAGGTTAGAAATAGGCACAAAACGTTCAAAAAAGCGTTGCATTTACAAAAACACTGCAGTATAATTTGTAAAATGAGTCATTCTTTACATCTATGCATGTATTTGACAAACAGAAGTAAAGCTAAGAAGTAGATGAATGAAAATAAGTCCCACAGTAGAATATTTTTCTAGCCTCAAGAATCCTACGAATTTCATATCTCGCCGCTAATTATTTCACTAATAACCTAAAGAAAATAAAATGATTAGTTATGGGCTTGTAAACACTTTTATAAAGTTATAATATCAAATTTTACGTAAAAACTGGAAACCCCCATACGAGTTTCCGAGGTTTGGCCATTTCCAAATAGCCCAAATCCGCGAATGGCCTAAATCTCTTTACTGTTACAGGTGGTCCCGATTTCGCACTTCCGGGTTTGACAGGCCGAAATTAGGGTCTCTTGGGGGTTACCAATTTTACTTGATTGAGGCACAAATTTTTATTTTTCTAGGAAATGCTTGGCAGTTTCAATAAGTTTTCAACGGTTCTGTCGTATGTTTAATATTGTCTACAAACGCCATGGAAAAGGAAAGCCGTATGTTGAAGTTTTTGTCGTATTTTTCGGTGAGTTCACGGTCTCCGAGTTTGCAGAATGCACAATTTTCTAAAAAAAACCGCGTGGCGAAGCCGCGCCACCCGGAAGCCGGCATTTTTACACATGTACAACACTGCGCACCACAAAAACGACAAACATTGAGCCGGGATAGCGTAATTTCTACCACAAATAACTTTATTTCATGACATAAACTTTCCATTCCTACATCTGAGGGGGAGAAATAATAGCTGGGGGATAAGATGAGTGCCTTCGGCGGGCGGGCGCGCTCCCGGCGGCGGGCGATTGTTGAGGGGAAGCCGGTGCAAATTTCCGTCTCGTAAACGGTCGTCGCCTTTATGAACGGTCCTCGCCTTTTCTCAGAGCGGTCGTCGCCTTTATGAACGGTCGTCGCCTTTTCTCAGAACGGTCGTTGCCTTGATGAACGGTCGTCGCCTTTCCGAACGGTCGTCGCCTTTTCTCAGAACGGTCGTCGCCTTTTCTCAGAACGGTCGTCGCCTTTTCTCAGAGCGGTCGTCGCCTTTATGTTATAAAATACAACCAACTCCCCCCATACAGATCATCGTAGGCTCCAGGTATCCTTACGGTGCCGGGAGTACTGTCCGCCCGCCCAGGTAGACAAGAACGTTCCGCTCCGCTAGTACTTTACGGGGTCAGTTTCAATTTATAGTTCGCCTGTACATTTCGGCAATAATTAGAAATGGCCGTCCGGAAAGATTTAGCATGTCAGGAGAGGCCTGTGTTATGGCTAAATGGCCTCGTATTTGAGTCCAACCGGTCCACGGCGACAGTCTGTCTCACAGTGTACTGCACCGTTAGTTGACTCTTGAGCCAGCCGAGTTCGCCTAGCCTTGGTGCTGGGCAGCTTTCCAGTCCCTCGGCGCGGCTCCAGTGCCAACATGCTCCGAAGGAAATTATACCACAGCCCACCCAGGCCCTGATACACATGGCTATATGAGGTTGTGTATATCGTTGCCGTACAGGGTATTTAGACACGACTTCCGAGTGACTACGCACCGGGGCTAAGCGATATCCGCCATTGGCCGTGTACCGATTTTGGAGGAATGTACGCTCAAAACTGGAGGAACGTCCGCTCACCTGGAGGAGTGTACGCTCAAACCTGGAGGAATGTCCGCTCACCTGGAGGAGTGTACGCTCAAACCTGGAGGAATGTCCGATTTTGTGAGGAATGTACCAATTTCGGAGCAATGTCCAGATTAGATTGGTCGGGGTGATTGGGTACGGCGAAAAAGTACAGGGTACTGCACGAATTACCGGGTACGGCCAGAATTTTTGAGCGGGTACGGCTTGAATTTCCGGGTACGGCTTGAAAGGAGTTTGATGGGGTGGGTGTTGGGCTGCTTTCCAGTCCCTCGGCGCTTCCCGGACCGGTCCCTTCCACTGAAGTTACTAATGATGAATTAAATAAAAACTAGTTCGACTCTAGCAGTTTCTTCTCTTATTCTTACTTTGTTTGCGATCGGTTCAGGCTTAAGAAGTTACTGGCATGGCATTCAGGTCTATGGTGGATTGCGCGGGCACTCCTCGGGGCTTGTGAAGTTTTCCGTCGCCCGGCTTCAACCAGGCAACCGGTCGCTGTAGGCACGGCTGTTGTGTGTTAATTTTGCGCGGTGAGAATTGTACCGTAACCGCGCAAAACTCTAACCGAGACATAGGTAAGTCAGGCATCGGAGAGATACGAATCTAAAGGGACCACAGAGCCTCGAAGAGAGCCCGCCCTATCTACGATAGGACTCGGGATACGTTGCGAACACGTTTCGAAGGTGAAGTGCAGTACATGGATCAAAAGCGGCCCCTAGCAGTCCGTTGCAGGACTGCAGCAATACGTTGCT